CAAGTGATTATTACGCATACGTTTCAAATCATTTATTTAATTCATCCACACAGGTACAGGCACTTCAGCCGTGTCATCATTTATTATGAACGTCCAGAATAGTCAAATAGGTAACTTTATCGGTTCTAGCAACTGTAACCATGTCACGGAGCAGTCAACGCGCTTGTTTTTAGGCTAACCACCGTGGAAAGTGCACCGTAAGGAGGTCTGTAATCCGCGATAGTCTAGATAAGACACGCAGCCCGCACCGCTGCCGAGATGAACCCACAAGCACCCTTAACAACTGAAGAATACCTGTATAACAAGAACTCCTTTAGTTTTTGCCTTGACTGTAAAATACTGAAAGAAGGTAATACAAAGTACAATTTCTTTACTAGACTCTCAAGTTTCGAGTATCGACAAAAACTTGAGAATTGTTTCCTTTTATTCCTTGGATAATCCATTTCTGTAGTTGTGGAGTCAATCTGCTGCTTTGCAGAGACAAAACGCAGCTGACATTGTCAATATGTTGACACATTAACATTGTTGACATGAGGGCTACTGCAGTGGTTCTACAAAATTATATGGATCATGGAAGTTCCTATAGTGATTACCGTGTAAAGCCAATTTTGTATTGTGCATCAAACTGTTGCGAGACGCAACAGAATGTCCTTCTGCCTGGAACATTCTGCCAAAACCTGTATATTATTATACCCAAGGGTAAACAAACATCACTGTCGCTATACATTTTAGAAGATAAACAAAGTAGATACCAGCGCATCAATAGGTAGATTCCCTAGGTTTATGCTGGACCTAGACTTCCACGAGGCAGACAATCAGCTTTATACAATTTGTTTGGTTAAAACTGTTCGAGAACAAAATTCGCAAAGTAATTTCATTTAAAAAAAACATCTTTATATCTACCATACAATTGAAAGTTTTAATTCGAGACACCGCTAATAATGGTAAAAGGTAATCAATTTAGAATCTAGATGACCAAACGATAAAAAGCACCTATTACTGTAAATTAGTTATAACCTGTAATATTTGTGGTTTTTTATGGGATAATAGCCGGTAACTGAGAAGACGGATCACCTGATGGTTAGCAATCGGCGTCGCCCATGGACACCTGGAACGCCAGAGGCGTTACAAGTGCGTTATCGACCTCAGGAATTTGAGAATTCTTGGTATTCAGGGAATAGGGAGATTGGGGCAAGTTGGGAGGGTAATTGGGCTTCCAGTAGCCTCACTCACACGACGAAACATAACGCAAGCTCTGTTTCACGTCGGGATTGTGTGAGGCCATGGTATCACTCCGGTCGAGCCGGCCCATTCGTGCCGAAGCATGGCTGTCCCGCACTATTGTAGTAGTAATATGACAAACACTTTACTGCTACTTGTCCCCCTCTTATTTTTACTGTTGTTTTAGTTAGAGATACCTTTCAGCTATCATCTACAAAGGTCACCAACAATAATATGATAATAATTGAACGCACCATGTGTCCACAGTATTTACACTCCCATATTTTTCACATGTGGAATACCTAAGTCATTCAAGTAGTATAAAAGCAGTGAATATTTACCTATTTATTTATTTAGGCTTCACTCACACAGTGTACATTAGGTGGACTTAATGCCGCAGACATTTTCTCCCTCTAAATAACATTAACTTTTATTTTAGGAAAATATAAATCTCCCTCTATCTTATGGATCACTTTGAACCCCATCTCGGTTATTGTCGATTTTCGATGAATGTAATGATAATATAATGAAATTAATACAATTCGCGCTGTCAAGGAAAGACTAAGTACCTATGGGTGATCACCATCACCAGCATATAAGCACTGCTGATCCTCTTTTCACAAGGAGATGGTTAGAGCATTAATAACCACGGTTGCTCAAGGCGGATTGGCGTTTCAAACTTCAGGTTTCCTCACGATCTTTTCCTACCCCTATACTTATTATACTCTTTGTCTTTTCCCTTACCGTCTGTCAGTGGTGTCTAAATACTCTTAGAAAGTACATATAACTCTAAAAAAGTCGAAAAAGTCACATTGGTACTTGCCAGGTTTTAAAGAGACACCCGCCTCTTTAAACTTAACCCCCGAGCCACCACGACAACAATGTGTGATATATCATATTATAAATTATTTATACACGTTATGACAATTATGCGTGTTCAAAGCACAACATCACATTAAAAATACGTAAGTGCCTAAGTACCTAATTAATTAATCAATCAAGATTAGGTATGATCTGAATACCATTTTTTTTCTTTTAAATATCGTAAAAATTTACCATCGTTCTAAAACTATACAACTAAACTATAGTTGGAGTCGCGGAGAACCTAACGGGTAACCGGGGCTCCGGCTCGACGTGCAGGAGAAGGAACGGGGTGGTTTTTAGTCAGTAAGAGTCTGACACTCCCTTCCGCCTCACCCAGGCGGGACCAGACATTCGATGATTTTCCCCCCTTAAAAAAAACTGTAGTTGGAAATATTGGTTACGTTAGATACATTATGAGATGGGTAACAATGAATCCCTATTTTTTTCTTTAGTTACTTGTTATTGCCATGACTTAAGTAGATGTGATTGAACCCAAGTTTTCATAGTAAGTATCTAGGTGATCGAGTGAAAAATAGTGTTTTAGAGAAAGGTGTGGATTTAAAGATGATTTAGTGACAAGGATTGAAAAGGGAATATTACACTGGTTGGGACATGTAAATAGGATGGATGAAAATCGAGTAAAGAAGAATACAGTGCGGATATGAAAGTGGCCGTCGGTAGAGAGCACCCTCGCCCTAGAATCTAGAGCCTAGACGGATGTATACTGACCAGATTGGCGATATATTAAGGAAGGGCCAAATTAAAAGTACCCTTGACCGACGAACATGCATGAAACGACTGATGGCTATTGATGAAGCGAAAGAGGTATATCAGAATCGTAGCAATTGGCGTTCCATAGTATCTACCTGCCCCAGAGACAGGCGTGAAGTTATGTATATCTAAGTATAAATAAACTTATTATGGGTATAGTTCGTATAAATGATATATTGGATAATTAATCTACCCGTGCGCATCGGATAACCCTATGCAACAAATAAAAGAATAGCCAATGACAAAATATGCAAACTTTTTCCCAATAATTAAAAAATGGTTGTCACTATCAAGAGGATATGTCACCTGTCAGCTATTTGATAGAATAGTTTTGAGAAATGATTTTACTTCATGTATTAGTATTTTAAACAATAATCAAATGCTCGTTCACTTGGACTGCTATGATTCTGACGTGGCGACATGTTACCGAAGCCCTTATAATTATTGTTATCGTCCATCAAGTGTTGTCGCTTAAGATCAGTTCGACAGCGGATCCGCAAGACTGGAAAGTAATAGAGGCCCTAGCAGAAGAGTATCCCTACGTGGTCGGTCTGCTGAGTGGCACCAAGGACTATATCTGCACGGGTAGCATCATCAGCAAGCGGTCGATACTTACATCGGGTAGCTGCGTTTCATATGACCCTAAATATGTTTTGCTAAATACAGCCATGTACAACAAAAGACTCAATAATACGTCGATATTCGAAGTAGCGTACACAAAGCTCCACGCAGACTACATATTTGACTTGAAGACGACGGACCCTAATGTCACCCGAATGCACAGTAATATAGGCTTGGTGTTTGTGCTGCCACCAGTTCTGGAACTTTTCGTTATTTCCGCCGATATTGGGAATTATTACGCTTCCGAGTTAAAGGAGAAAAAGCTGATTGCTGTAGGATATGGTAGACTCGGCACGTCTGATACGATAGCACTACAGCATCAAGCGTACCATCAGACCCCATGCACGAACCCCAAGTGGTACTATTGCGTCTGCGGTATCGAGTACTCCACGTACACGAGGACCTACACGTATGAGTTCGGCATAGGCGCCCCAGTGCTGCTCGGCAGTGAACTTGTTGGAATCACCGCAACACCCTGCGGAACCCTATCAATGAAAAACTTGGGAATTAAATATAACATATTTACCGTCATTGGGCCGTACTTGCCGTGGATACATAAATCTGAAAATAAACCAAACGTAGTTGCTCAAATGCGTAGCAAAAATGCCAGTGACAAGAAAGCAAATCCATTACAACTTCTTTGTATATTGATGATACTTAGTAAATCGCTTTCATGAAAATTAATCACTTGTTTTCCTATTTGCGTAATGAAAGAACTAAAATGATTAAATTAGCACGTGTTCTGATACATATCGACTCGCTAATATTCAGTCGGAAATTAGCATGTATTACGATCTAGAACTAGTGACGGCAGTTAACATCAAAAAGGTGTTAAATAAAAAAGAGATGTGAAACGTTTGGAAGCTCACACATTGTCCAAGCAAGATCCAGTAAGTACACGCATCATGTCATATTACTTTGAACCGATACTGATAGCTGCTTGTCCAGTTTATTTTAATGCATCGCAAAAGTGCAATGTACCTTTACTTGTAGGCGTTATATAAACACTTTCATTATTACAGTTGTGTTCTCTCGAGAGAGTGGACTATTTACTAAGATATACAGTGCATTTGTGTTATACATTGTGGTGTTTAGAAACATTAAAAGAAACCAGGTTGTTTAATTCACTTTATTAAATTTTTACTTTTCAATATTTTTTGATAGGTACTCAAATCTTGTTTTTTATAAATATTCAGTCGTTTATTGTTTGGGTAAATTTTTTTTATAAAAACCTGAGACATAATAAATTATTTGCAATATTATTTCTCCGTTAGTTCACGTAAGTAGCCGTGCCCATATTATATTACTTTTGTGTATTAATTATTATTAATTATGAAGTCACATCCACAATACAAAGACACACCAATTCTGAGATCCCCATTATCTTTTATCTTATTGATAAATTGGTGAGATGTTGTCAATAAAAAATTGCTCTAAAACGATAATATCGTCACCTTTGACCCTGGACCCCTTACGATAAGCTAAAATATTGTAGTGCCCAGAGAGTGATCTCATATCGTTAGATGTGTGAAGTTCTTGCAGTCAAGATGTTTGTGAATAAAATAAAAACGAAAATGAATATATTTAAGGTGCTAGTGCGAAACATGAGCCAAGAGAAGAAATGGGAGCCTTTAAAGAAAGTGGGCATCATTGGTGTGCCTTTTGAGAAGGGCCAGAAGAAATATGGCGTCAGCGTGGCACCCGCGGCCCTACGGTATGCCGGTCTCATTCAGCAGCTAAGTGAAATCGGTATTCCTTTGTTTTATATTACTAAAATACTTTAACCATAACATATGCTTAATCACTATAACATAAAAGAAGTCGTTCTCAATGGCTAACTTGATATAATTTTACACTGATAAACAAACACTATTGTGTATCAATAATTTAACTTCGAAACTTGTAAGAACTGTATTAAACACAGAACAACGCGTATTTGATACAGTTCTTAGAATTTTAATAATAGCGTAACTTGTGAAATAAGTTAATCACCATGCTTTCATTCAAAGTGATGAAAGATAAAAGTTCGCAGACATGGCAATTCATTTCTGACCTACACCTACCAAATAGATAAACAAGGAAATTTAGCGACATTCATCTATTTGTTTACCTACTTTTAATTACCAATTTCATGAACGAACGTAGGAACTAGTAAATAATATGTAGATATTATTTCTTCTAATTTAGTTTACTTTTAGTTTAATTCTTTTTTTAAAATTGGATAGGTATCTATTTTTTTTATTATTTTTTTACCTTAACCTAATTCATATTAATCAATTAGGTTTAATTAAATAAACAACGCATGTGAATTGAATATTTACAAATCGTTATGAGTAACCTACTCATAACGATTTGTAATTTGTAATTTGTTTTGCATTCGACGACCATTTACTTACATAAGTTAATGATGAGCTTAACTAGACTCTTTCTTTTTTAGATGGGCTCGACGTGAAAGACTATGGCGACATAGAAACGCCAGGGATCGAAGAAGTGAAAATGGAGAATATGGCACATTTGGCGCTGGTGTCAGCCTGCAACAAAAAACTTTCAGAACGTGTCTCTCAAGTTCTCAGAGATGACCGAGTCGTTGTCACCATTGGGGGCGACCACTCCATTGGAGTCGGTAAGGCTTAGATACCCTAATTACTTACTACAGAGCACACTATCAACAATCATTCTTAACCCTTTGAGTACCGTCATTATAGACACAATTAAAGATCAATAGGTTGCGGTCACCGGTGTCCCCGTGGTGTTTGACAGTATAAGTCCTTGGGCTAAGAAATGAAGGTGATGGTTGAGATCACATGAAGGTTCACGTTAATTCATTTGTTTACACCGCGCCACTTATGAAAAGAAATCCTGCAAGTAAATAATATTTTTTTATGATCTCTCTAATTAGATGAATTTTGTGTTCTCTTTCCTTCGGTAACGCTGGCATGACAACTTGGTAGGAATCCATTGTTTCTACTCAAATTGCGTCCTCTACTTTTTACATCACGATGTTTGATACTACCTATATGTTTCCCATTCCAGGCACAGTGGACGGCCACTACCAAGTGAACAACGACATGATCCTGATCTGGGTGGACGCTCATGCCGATATCAACACAAATAAAACTTCGGATTCTGGATCTGTACACGGAATGCCAGTCGCTCTTCTAGTCAAAGAATTCAACAATTATTGGCCTTATCTACCAACAATGGACTGGCAGGAACCCTTGTAAGAAATGTTGATAGTACCTACACATCTACACAAACTAATTAGATAGAAATTAGGTACAAAATCCCGCCTTCTTTCGACGATTCTTCTTTTTTTGTAACTTCCATCATAATACATCCACGCGTCTGGTCATCCAAGTTAAAATACTTGCTGAGGTTTCTTAAAAAGCTCATACGACAGCCGTGGTTTACTAATCGCAGCCGTATCTACCTATTTACTTATTTTTTGTGCCTAATTAGGTGCTATACCTAATGAGGCATAACTACCTACTACTACTCCATACTAATTGAAAATACTTACGTGAACTACTCTAAGTAAGTAAATCTCTACTAGTTAAGACACACCGAGACTTATTCGTGAAAAAGTCCCGGTATAACTAAAGCTATTAGGTAGAGAATTTGTCAAATAGTTCACGTGAGTAAACTATTTTTTAATTAACCTGTTTACATGTTTTATTGTGTCTACATCATCCCTTTTCCTTGCAGATTCTCCATAAAGAGCTTAGGATACATAGGCTTGCGATCCGTGGACCATTACGAGAGGCTAGCTATTGAAAAATACAACGTACCCACATTTGCTATGGAAGACGTTGAAGAGTGAGTACAGTTATTATAAACTATCACAAACCGTATTCTCGATTTTATTTTAATCTTGTTTTATATTCTTTAATTTAGACATGGAATCAAGAATTCAATAGAGCACGTGTTGAATAAATTGGATCCTGAAAACAAGCGGCCTATCCACGTTAGCTTCGATATTGATGCTTTGGATGCATTGGAAGCACCCAGCACTGGCACTCCAGGTTTGTTCTTATATCCACTAGAATACTCCATGTATTGATTTTGAAATCACAACCTATGTAGATAAATGTTAACCACCATTTATAAAATGGGTACCTATGATTTATTTATTTATTTTATTAGGGCTTACCAACTACTTAAACACAAACATTGAAAGTCAAGAAATTGACAGAAATACAGACTAGTGTTTCAAAGTTAAAGTCAAAGTCAAGCGCCCTCGAGCGTCCTTATGAGCACCCGGTGAATCATAAGAAAAAATGCTCCATGCTGCTTTCTCTTTTATAAATCTATTATTAATGTTTTGTTTTTATGTTCACTGTATTTTTTATTTCTATTGTAATGATCCTTGTTTTCGTGTGCCAATGGCCAAATAAATGTATTTTCTTTCTTTCTTTCTTTCTCCAAATGTCACGTGTGCCGGGTGCACATATTTTGGATCATAAGGAACTCGGACGCTCGACGGGTTAAGGAAAAGTTTTCATTCAGAACAAAATAAACAAAAGAAATATGATACTCCGACTCTATAAAATATTAATTTCTATAACAGTTCGTGGTGGCCTATCCCTTCGCGAGGCTATCAATCTCATGGAGATAGTATACGCAACCGGCCGTCTGCGAGCTGTGGACCTCGTAGAGATCAACCCTGCCCTTGGCAACGAAAATGACAGGAAGCAAACCATCGAGGCGGGACTGTGCGTGCTGAAGGCAGCGCTAGGCTTCTCGAGACGCGGCACCGCCCCTCGTGGAGTGAAGGACCTGCCCATACAAGACCATGCTCATTAACGACTGATTAGCACGTAACAACTAAATCATACTATCAACAAAGTTACTTTAATGGCCATGTTTCAACATTTTTCATTTATATTTGATATCGTTTATTTTTTTAGTTAATCTACATACCTATGTACGTTATACTACTAACATGGTAAACTTATTGAACTATGTACCTATATTTATTAACGGTGTTTAGGTTTACTAAGTATGTAAGTATAACTGGCAAAAATGTGACAAATTACTATGATTGTCGTTACATTGACTTGTAACGACCTTGTGCGATGTCGACGTTGATACAAGTAGCTCACAAACTCACAATAAAGTATTATCTAAAGAAGCTGTATTTTATTGCTAACTGGGTATGTTTCTAGGCATTATAAGAATCGACTTCAAATCAGCGTAACCGACATGGTTATTGAATTCATAAGTTGAATTTTATTGACTTTTCCATTATGTTACCGAGATACTCATAACTTACCTACATGTATTTAATATTTTTATGTTCTTACGAAGATGATTGTTTTTCTGGTGAGTTACTGAATCAATCGGCTGTGGTATAAAGCTATTCCAGTAGATATGATAGAAGTTAAACCACTTGTTCATGGTAGTTAAGTAAATAGGTATAAGTTAATAAGTAATTTTGGTCTCATTATAATTAATTTAACAGCACCGACCTCTTTTTGTATAATTCACAAATAGTTGTTCCGTATCTGGGTACGATAAGCATGAGGCAACGATGCTCTATAGTTCTCTATTTGCAGTTAGGACTTGGAGTTAAATTAACTTGAATTTTACAAGATATGTAGTTATGCACTTATTACGTGTCCGCAAAAAACATCAGTTATGGAAGTACCTATCCCTGTATACCTCTAGAATACCATTTCATTGTATTGTAGATATCTAATAATCTGTCAGTACATAGTATAGTGTTGTTTCATAAAATAGTTTACGATTTATTTTAAGGATATCTTCCTAAAACGGGAGACTTATTTATGTCGTGAGTTTACCGCATGGGTCTTGCATAAATACTCTTTTGTGGTTTATGAAATTATTTAAACTTACAGATACTAGGCATAATTGCAGTAGTTAACTCTCTGGAACCTCTGGTAGACAACAACATAGATGAAGAATCAAAAACTGTATTAAACAAATACATTAATTTAATACCAGATATAGAATCACGTTTCGTTATCGATGATTCATTAACCAAAGTAATAGATTACTATTTTAAAGGGAAAGTTAACACATTACCTCTATACAAATTAAGTTTGACTATAGACAGGAATCCAGTAAAGATCCCATGGTCTACAGATCAGGTAGGGGAAAATCATAACAAGGATGAAATACAAAAAGCTTTAAATGAACAACTAGATAAAAAAACGAAGGGAAAACATTACAAAGTGAAGATGATATCAAAATTGTCGATGGCGAAGAAGAAAAGAACAACCAAGCCGCCATTAACGACGGAAGCGACATCTGCACCGTCCGCGTCATCTGCCACTCCTGCGTCCGGCGAAATAGAATAAAACAACATATTTGTTTGGTTACTGCTATTGCTTTTTATTTCATATTCATTACAATATTTACATCCTTGTTTTTGTACAGTGTAATGATTTAGTAATTTTCGTAGAGAATGTGACATATTGAAGATATTTCGTATTTTTTCGTCTCAAATTAAATTACATGATTTACCTATAAGAATACCTGTTTCTAACTAATCTCTTGAAGCCTATATCTCCTAATTCTAAGACTGGTTAGAATCAAAGTACACTTAAGTTTTAGCCAGATTTGGCTTCGTGTTGGTCAATACAATTTATGCTTTAAAAACACAACCATTGCTGGTACTAACAGTATTTTAAGATCCGTGGTCAACTTTCGTTTTCTAGCTACCACTAACGAGTGTCATACGTATTAATACGACTATCATATAACTAAGTATTGATTAACAAATAACAATAACAAAATTCACAGCAATGAAATAAAATGTAAAACTCGTAAACGTGATAGGTTTAAATTCGTCCGAAAATATTCACCTGTATGTAATTGAAAGTTTGTTGAAGGCAATATGGTATGATAACAGTTTGTTTTTTTTTTACTTTTTTACATAACAGACAAGACACAAGCACACGATACGACCCAAACTTGTACTCATTTATTAAATACGTGCTATACATACATACATCCACACTACAATACATTCATCAACACTTGCTACTAATGATAGACTGCACGTCTTTATTGGGCTTGTTTCACAACGTTTCTGTTAGCTAATAACCAACACAAATTTAAAGTTTTTTATGGAAAATAAACAAACATCCGTCAAACTGACGGATGTCAGTTACAACAACTTAATCAGAAATTGTGAAACAAGCCCTTTAGAACAATTACTAAAAGTGTAACAAGTAATAATAATAATTATGCGTACTGGTTTTCCTTTCGTAAAACGTTTGGACATTGTCAAGTTTTTTTTTTTTACTGGAAAGGTAATTACCAAGCAATTTGATTATTTAGGTAAGTGTGAAAGAACCATACTTCTGCACGCATAGATCATCATCCGACCAGAGCGATGCCACGGCCTAACAGAAAACAAGCGTAAAACAACGCTCGCGTTGTGATTCGCCGTGAGTGAGCTAACGGGAGGTCTAATCTTATAATTCCTCCAAGGCCACACTTATAATTCCTCTGGTGTTGCGGATGTCCATGACCGACATTGATTGCTTAAAATAAAACATAGTTTATTTCCATGACTCACAGACCCTATCAGCCTAACCATGACTGGCTATGTCAAGTCAATATCTTAAAAATAAATAGACGTCTTACTTTCATATTTCTGACGATTTATTCACCAGACTAACGTGATAACACCTTATTTAATAATATTTGTCGAAAAAAATAATATAAGTCACAACATAGCCAGTCTACCTAAAATATTGCAAATTAAAACTGAACTAAAAATTTTATAAAAAGTATTGTCAAAAATGATGGTAAACGAAACTAAATTTTTAATTAAACGTATGAAACAATATAAAAACAATTTTACTCTAGTTTAGAAGTTGACTTGAGCTCTATAATGTTTTTGGAACTTATTATTCTTTAGAGACATCTTCATCTGCCACTTTGCTTGTACACGTTTCATGAAGTGAATGTCACGTGCTTTCCTGGAAAAAATATATATTCATTAGAAAATCATAGAATTTTGTGTGTCAAATTCCATAATCAAATTTTTTTACATAAGTGCAGTCTTAGTATTAAACAGTCAACTGAATAAATCTAATACTATTATATAAAGCGGAAGAGTTTGTTTGTTAGTTTGTTTGTTTGTACATTTTTATCGTAAATCAAGCAAATTCATGAAGTTTGCGAATGTAAGTCCACCCATTAGCTGTTATGATGAAATATAATAAAAATAAAAATACCCCAACACTATCCACAATATACACGTTTACTGATATATTTATTGAATACCAGCTTCTGCCAGCGGTTTCGCACGCGGCCCCGTGGGATAAAAAGTAGTCTATGTGTTTTCCAGACCATAATCTATCCCTTTCCCAAATTTCATCCCGGTCCCTTAAGCCGTTTTGATATGAAGGATTAACAAAGAAACATACAAACTTTCAGATTTATAATAATACTAGCTGTTGCTCGCGACTTCGTACGCCATATTCTGTTTTCGGTAAAAAGTATAAAACAAAATTGCATAAAAAGTATCCTATGTCTGTCTCCTGGTTCTATGCTACCTCCCTAGCAATTTTCATCGGTGTAGCCGTTCTTGAGTTATAAATAGTGTAACTAACACAAATTTCTTTTATATATAGAAGTATTAGTAGGATTTGATCATTGACACTTACTTAGCAGCCAAGGCCTGTTCTTTGGGCGCCCAGCCGAGTGCTCTGTAGACACCAAGCAACCTGTGCAACTTGCGATCCGACTTCTTCACTAGAGCCTGACTGTTCTGTGTCAAGTTTTGTTTGTAATATCTGTAAAACAACAAAATTTCATAACTAAGCAATCTTGATGTAAATATTCTGTTTATTTAGTAAAACATACATTCCTGATAAATTATATATTGATAAACATGATATTCAGATAGTGACCTCTATTTTATCATAGCATTTAATAATAATACTAAGTTCTTAACTTACATGCTATTATATAGCTAATTGCTTTCAAATGACTTATATTATAGTTTAATTGGAACTGCAATTTGTTTCATCCAAAACTTTCCGATTTAAAGGTCATAGTTAACCATTTATGCCGCGCACGCAATATGTTCTACTGCGATGAACTAGCAGGCTCAAATAAACAATAATAAGCAATTTACGTTTTATACATCGCAATAAGTTTCTAAATATGTTATCTATTCATATTTCGACAATGACGTAATATAATGTTTTGTTCATATTTTATTTATGTTTCTATTAGATGTTAAAAATAACGATATTTCTAGGCAGCTGTTTGTACTGTACTGCTGTATGTGCAAAACTTTTTAAGATCTACCTAGCAATAAAATTTAGACTGTCAAACACCAAGCGGTCACCGGTGACCGCAACCTATTGTTCTTTAATTGTGTCTATAAATACGGTACTCGACGAGTTAAATGTTCATTAAGGGCTTCAATACACTTCTGATATTTTTTCAAATAAGTGTCTACTTCTAGTATAATGTGGTTACTGAAACACCTGTGTACACATTTTTCAAGTAACATATTACGCAATATATTAAAAACTTACTTCATGAGGGAGCGGTGGCCGACTACGACACCAGAAGGTAGTACCAACTGGAAGTCATCACCCTGTAGTGTTGTGGGGGCTTCTACTTCATCATCCACATCCATACCATCTTCCTGATCCTCATCCTCTTGATGGTCTGGGTATGAAGAACTATAAGAACATGTGGAAAAATTATAAGACATTTCTTTTCTGCGAGATCTTACGGGTCAAATGATTGTTCTGATCTGTTTTAACAATACAGTCTTAGAGCCAGCTTGTACTTAGAACTATTGAAGTTTTTTTTAAAGGGGGAATATCATCGAATGACTGCTCCCGCCTGGGTGAGACGGGAGGGAGTGTCAGACTCTTACTGACTAAAAACCACCCTTTTCCTTCTCCTGTACGTCGAGCCGGAGCCCCGGTTACCCGTTAGGTTCTCCGCGACAGAACTATTTAAGTTAGGTAATTCAATTTATAATTTTTATGAACTGTCATCATCATCATCAACAGCCTATAAGTGGCCACTGCTGACCAAAGGTTTGAGCAGTAATGACCATGCTTGCTAAATACGGGTTGGTGATTTCAAACTTATAATTAGAAATTATAAGCCCATGTTTCCTCAGGGTTTTTTCCTTCACTGTTTGTCAGTGGTGTCTAATCTTCCAAAGGTGTGATAATCTTAGAAAGTACTTATAACTCGGAAAAAGTCACATCATTGGTACTTGCCGTTGGTAGGTTTCGAACACGCATTCTCATGCATGAGAAGCGGGCGTCTGAGACCTCCGGACCACAACAAGTTTTTACAGTTAATGTTTTGATAAAACTTGTTAATATAATATAATTTGTTGGATACAAAATCTATTGATGCACATCTGACTGCAAAATTAGTCCAGACCCTGTTTTGAAATTTAGAATTAATTTTACCTGTAGTCATAATAATCAGCGTATTCTGCAAGGGCTAGGCCTTCGTGCAACATTTTACAATGTCCTTTGTCAATCATATGCCCTCGAACAGCTTCCATAGAGTAAAATGTTCGGCCAGTGTCATTACACCAGAGGCACATGTAACCCTGTGATATCTGTGAAGTAAACAACAATTTTTTTTATTTAAATCTAAATCTACCCACAATGTCAATGTGTAAATAAAGTAAAATACACATGGCTAATTTTGGATAATTGATATTATACAGTCTGAAATAAAGCTACACACAATTAGGTAGTATGATTTATAAAATAACTGGCCGTATAAGACTATTTTTCAGGGACTTTTGTATATCTTTTTTTATTTATTTGTTAATAACAGCTTATTTACAATATAGTTTTGAGTTTAAAGAGTATGAGATGTGATGCAAAAAGTCCCTTATACATGTTAGTCACTTCAGGATAAAATGTTTACATACAAGATCAACAGCCACAGCTGACCAAAGGCCTTTTCTCATATGGAGAAAGTTTGAGCATTAATCACCACAATTGCTCAATGCAGAATTCAAAATTATAAATAGACATTATGAGCTCAGGTTTTCTCACGATGTTTTTCTTCACCATTTGTCAGGGTGTGGTGACTAAATAACATTAGAAAGTACATGTAACTCGGAAAAGGTCACATTGGTACTTGCTGTTGGTAGGTTTAGAATCCACACCCTGATTCACGAGAGATCTTAAACCTCCGAGCCACTACAACTCTTTTGTTTACACACAATAATGTTTAAATCTTGTAACAATATACCAACTGCAAAATAGCAAATGTAAATCCTTACCTTTTCTCCCAAATACAGAAGAAGGTCTTTTATATTAATACAGTACTCTACGTCTGGTATGAAGAATGAATGGGCCTCAGACATGTGCTTGAGATTCTTGACTATGTTCTTACTGTGATGGCCACAGAACAGACAGTCTCGAGGCTTGATCAGAGAGTCGCTGCCTTTAATACGACACTCCTCCCACTCATCCGAGTCAAGCTAGAACATTTAATAAGATTTTATAAAAAAAAAGTTAAAATTAATTTTATAAAAGATTGTCTAATGGATTCATATGGTTATGACAAAGTAAAAATATCATGTAAAAAGTGATAAGATTAAAATACGAATATAATAGTTAGTAAACACCATTGCACAATACAATGAAATGTTTGTATATGGCTAATCCATCCCCATAAGGAACATACCTCTTCAATTTCGGAATCCGTTTCTATGTCCTCTTCTCCGGAATCGTCAGCAGACACAATAACAAACTTGCTAGGATCCTTGGCAACATTAGCACTAGGCTCAACCTTTACAAAACTATCTGTATCAGAATGACCACTTTCTGCTTCTTCTTTATTTTCAACATACCGCTCCTCAGACAATTTGTGCTTCTTACTATTCAAATGATTGTCGAAGGCATTTTTTGTATTAAATAACTTGGAACAATACTTGCAGTACTGCGATTCAACGCGGCTTTCATTCTGACTCTGTTCTCTGTGCTCCTTCACTCGCTGCTCAAACTCTTCCAAAGTCACAGGCGATATTGAAGCAACCTTCCTTTTCAAATTATACCTGTGCCAGTCCTGTTTATAATGTTCACGTTGTAATTCAGGCGTTTTGAACATCACCTGGCAGGTTATGCAAGTAAAGGTATCAGGCATTGTTACAATTTTATTATATTTCACACGATTTACAACAATAATGTATCACAGCCGAATGAACACTAGAATTGGATTGTCAAGCCAAGACTTATTAAATAATGAGAAATTGAGGAATGATTTAAAATGATAAGTTGAACGAAAAACGTACAAATACGCAAATATATTGAAGGCCCACTAGTGATGCTACTATGACAGAAACATATAGGATCTAACAACTCGACTATCTTAGACACGAAAAGCTTTCGTTTTAGATTTAGTAACTAGTATTAGATTACCTATTAGATTTTGTTATCTAGAAACTGGGAAGAACAAAAAGGATTATTTTCTGTCAGACATATCCCCTGGTCCCGTTTCTGTCTCACACCGTTTACTCTAAGATCCACATTCTTGCGCAACCCCTGAACTCTTGGCAACCAGCTGTCTTGACCGGCCCTAGGCCTCACCTCTTGCTCTCACGCTTCGATTTTGGATCAGGAGCAAGAGAGAGCTCCTAAATACTTACTACTCGACTAAACACTCACAAATAGTGTGTGACTGAACAAGGTGCACAGAGGAGTGACAGTGACGTATTGTCTCAAATGACAATAACCAATAATTTGAATCATGACATCAATCAAACAAAACTGAAAGAAAACATTGACGAGTGAATTGTGAGGTGCTGATTGGATTGCGATTTACTACTTATCTTTATTTTTATATTTTAGTACTGACTTATATTTACATGATTTTACAACGACGGTCTGATCACCATGAGGATAGTTGCTAAAGATTATTTCCAGTACTATATGGACTAGAGTTAGAATAAACTAATTTTATTTGGAGTCACTGACCCGCAGCAACTCTGTACAAATATACAATACCTACGACAGAATTAGCTGACCTCTTATCGCAATCACAATTATTTATGAAAGTAATATTCTTCATGTAAACAATTTTATTTGAAACACTAGGATGTTAGAAACGGAAGAAGTTGATGATGATTTCTTCACTCCAATAGCTGGGTAAGTGTAATCTTAATAAAATAATGTTAATTGTAGAAAAGTATGTGTAAAAATTTGTGAAGTACTTACAGAATATGAACACTTTATTCAACTAACAATGCTTACATTTCAGTGCTTCTTTGGCCAACATATTTGGAAGTGCCGCAAAATTCAATGAAGAAAAATCAAATGACTCATTAAAGTATGTACCCCCTAAGCCTCAAAACATTCCGCCGAAACAAGAGCAAACTAAAAGCACTGAATGTATATTTGCATGTGCTCTTATTGGACATGAATGGTAAGATTATGTTATTACAACTGACATTTTGAAATTGATAAATTATTAGTCTGATCTTTGATACATGGGTAGATACAGATCATAAATTCTGCATTAATGAATATTTTAATTTAGAATATGGGAAATCATCAGTTTTAGAAAAGCTATTGTGAAATATGTTATGTAAATTATATTTAGAAACTACATAGTTACATAAGTTATTGAAAAGAACCTGTATCTATCTTAATTGAAATATAACAGATTTTATTTAATCTAATAAAATTTTTTGGTTGTTGCTTACACCTTTTTTATTTTTCAGGTTCAATAATATTTACACATCAAGAGGAAAAATAGGTTTTGCTATTGTTAAGATTCAAAAGACTGCCATCCACAATATTGTGCTTTATGACTCTAATAAGACTACCTTGTCCTGTACCACAGTATCAAGTAATTTAGAGATTACTATAAAAAACAATACATACATCTCATATTATGATAATCTGAAAAAGTACTGGAGCATTTATGGTACAAAAGATGAGGTTAACAAAATTGCAGAACATTTGTCTAAATTGGATGTCAAGATTCAATATTCTTCTTATACAGAACAAGGCCCACCAGAACCAGCTAAACTAGATACTAAAACAGATGCTGCATCAGAACAAAGTGAGAAAATTGATAAAGGGAGTGATACTGACTCTTCTATAAACAGAAAAACAAAAGCTTCCATTTTGAACAGAATGGCGAACATGGGTCATTCAGTGCTGCCAACTAGAACTGTCTCTCTGGAAAGGACCAGTGACTCATCAGACACAATGGAAACTGAGATTCCACCAAAGCATGTCAGACATAAACCAATTAAAAGTGTAATGAAAAAGAGTAATATAGAAAATGTAACAGAGGCACAACTAGTAAGTGAAACACACCAGAGAACAATGGTGCCAAAAACTGAGTCAGTTGCTAACATTCCATTTTACCCATCTTCTGGAAGCCAATTAATACCTATTTCAAGCACAAATATCATTACAGGACCTAATGCAGACTTTGGCATGTTTATGTCTGAACAAAGGATAAGCAATAGTGAGTTAAGAATAAATATGAATAGGATAACTGACAAAGTTGACTCTGTCTTAGACAAAATTAACAAATTCGAACAAAGAGAAAACTCTAATATTCAAACAGATATATTAATGAAATTACTCTCAGAGTATGAAAATAAAATTAAAGTTTATGAAGAATTACTTAAGTCTAAAAATGTAAATAATGCTGAAAATGTGACGACTTCAAATCTTAGCCAGAATGATAATCAAATAGAAATTTTAACAAAGAAAACATCAGAATTGGAAAAGATAAACCTAAACCAAACCAATGAAATAACACATCTGCAAGATGAAATGATACTCTTGAAGTCACAATATGCTGAACAAAATGTTAAACATGATAATAATGAAGGTGCGCTTCACCAAAAAATTAAGAATTTAGAAAGCAGTTTACAAGCAAAAGATGATGAATTAAAAGAAATTCGTGAAAAATTGGGTAATAAAACAAATGACATAGAAGATAATATTGAGGACAAAGTTAAAAATATTATGAATGTAACATTTCAAACAGTTTCCTCGAAATTTGATAATAATGAAGTTTATTCGGGAATTCTAGTCAAACAAATCATTGGAGCAATAATTAAAAAAATTACTATACAAACATTAAGAGAATTATAACTAAAATGTTTCTTATCTTCCAGTGTCTTTCTTAGACAATAAGTAATGGTCCACTGTTTTAATTAAAGAATAATATACATACATATAATGGTATATAATTATATAGCATCACCTTTACCTTTTATTTAAATAAAATATGCATAAGAAAACAAAATCTTTAATTTTAGGCTGTCTGTGCCGGTTCTAGAAAAGAACGCCATAACGAAATAATATTTTAACATCATCATAATTTATTAAGAATGGATTGTATATTCCATATTTTTTATTACGTTTTAACAACAATGCGTCGACAACATTTTAATGTGTATAAGCCGATGCACTATAGAAAGGAATCTTAAATTGCGGCTTGTACTTGCGTTGACAAGTAGTACAGTTAGCTTTATAAAATGTCAAGTCGAATATTTTTTTCAAAATAGTAATAATAAACACATGATCGGGCCGTATTTATTTCTAACCAGTTGAAGATTTGAAAAACACTTTTGAGGATCTTTATTATGATTTTGGTGGTATAAATAAAGAACGATATTAATACTATCTATGAGACGGTCACCGGGATTACTTTTATGTCTACGGTACGCGCGAGAGTGAGTATAGACGGCACTAGTGTGCAAGCGAGAAAACATGATAAGCACCGCCATTTTAGATTCCTTTCTACCTGCCTACTTTTGCTTTTGAACCGAGTTATACTGTTTTGCTCTCATTCTTCGTCCAGTAGGGAATTAGCTAGTGTTACACGATTGGACAAAAAATATTTTTGATAGATAAGCGTCATCTGATGACCAAGAAATCGGCAGCCCCCATATATCATAGCTCTATTTCGACAATAGACAATTCTTAGTAGAATACTGTCAAAAATTTCACATGACACATCCTACGTCAACGTCAAGTTCAAATGTCAAATCAACAGATAAGCGAGTTGTACTGTTGCTGTTAATCAAAATTGTTGAGAGTACTTCAAAGAGTATAATAAGGAGTACTTAACGTATATTAAGTTCATGTTAATTATAAGTTAAACTTATAGTAGAAGTATATGTTATGCTTTGTTTTTTTACAAAATTATGAAAGACTTAACTCTACCGTGCGCTAGCTCCAACCTGTGACTTTTTGAGACTTGAATACAATAGATTACATGAGCAATCATGGATGATTTACAAAAATCTTTAGATCAGTATGAAGAACAGGTAAACATGTTATATATCAACATAACTTTATGAATCACAAATGCATACTAAACATAGGTAATTTCCCAATACCTAAGCAAACCTATAATAACAAAAAACTTAACATAATTTCAGCTTGCAATGGTCAACCTATCACTAGAAACTGTTACTGAATCTGCAGAAAGAGAATCTTTACTATCTTTGAAATCAGATTTAGAACAACTTATACAACTGACTAGAGAAAATTTAGATGCTATAGTACCTAAAAACACAGAAACCGCAGAGACTCAGGCTTCTGAAACTAAAGATGAATTGGATGATGAGTATGCTTTGTTTATGGTAAATATTAGAATATGGTACAATATAATATTTGGCTGTTTGTATAAACATTATCACTGTTTAATTATCATAGTTGGTTTTCAGCAAGAGATGGCCAAAAGTGGTGCATATGAGACATCCAAAGAGGCTACATCTGAAAACAGCAAAGATGTACCTGATGGTGATGATAGTGATATAGAGGTAGTTACTTCATAATAGTGCACTAGTCATATGGTAAAATATAGTACTGAATTCACTAAGTAGTTATAATTTTTCATAGGATGAGTTGTCTTCACTATTGGGCATGAAATGTGCAGTGTATCATACACACAAGTGGGGCGGTCAACCTGGACTTTACAATGCTATGGTCAGTGCTGTAGTGCCCAGACAAGATGAAGACCGTTTTCAAGATCTACAGGTTAATTTGTTTCAAATATTAAAAAAATAATATTCTATAATACTAGTATTGTCAACCAAAAGCACGAATGTCTTTATTAAAATTATACTATTGTTTTACCATAATTACAGGTTCGTGTTCTATTCACTCATCCTACACATGCAGAGATGTTACCTTGTCCATTTTATCTTGATGGTGAATGTAAATTCAGTGATGAACAGTGTAGGTGAGTGCAATGTTATACTTCATTGATCCCTATATGCAAATTGCAAATTACAACCAATTGTAAAATGGAAGATTAGACATTTTTTGTTGACTTTTCAACAACATCCAACGAAATTGCTAATCATTTCTGATTTCAGATATTCCCACGGTGCTTTAGTACAATTGTCGAATTTAAAGGAAGCAATAGAACCTGACTTTAGTTCAATTAGAGTAGGAAGTAGGATATTGATGAAAATTACACCACCAGATGATGAGGTAAGAAGTTCAAGCTCTCCATAAGACATTCAAAGTGTGTGGTCTGGGTGTAATATGCATGTGAAATTCTGGAATCATAAAAATCGCACAAGAAGTATCCAATTTCATCTTTTTTTTTATTACAGGACATAAGTTTAGCAAAAAAATCTACTGAAAAGTACCACTTATGGCACAGAGGCATCATCAAGAACATAGATTTAGAGAAACGAATCTGTTCAGTAAGGTTGGAGCATGGTGTACAGGCAGGAGAGAAAAGGAAACAAGGCAGTTATGAATATAAAGTTAAAATTGAAGACATTTTTCCGTTAAATAGTAAGTATTTTTGTTATTGAAATCGATTCATTTATATAATAATTTTTAAGGAAGGAGAGATGACTAGATTTTTCTCATATGCTATTTTATCCATGTTTAGATTTACTAGAAGTTCATTATTGAATACAATATAATTCATTAAATGGTAAAGCTGCGCCAAAGTAGCTAGTCTTACATAAAAGAAAGACACGTATTTCTAGGGTCTAAAAACCTCATGTAAGACTAGCTACTTCGGCGCGGCTTCGCCCGCTCTGCTCGGCGACGATTGATCGTAGCGTGATGTTTTATAGCCTACAGCTTTCCTCGATCTCTTCTCTCGATCCAACACAAAAAGAATTAACTACAAATAAAATTTTTTTTTTTTTTCAAATTGGACCCGTTGTTCCTGAGATTAGTGCGTTTAAACAAACACACAAACTCTTCAGCTTTATATAATATTATTAAGATATAATATATTTTTTTATGTATTTCAATTTGTTGATCCATATAACTTGATTTGCATTTATTTCATTTTTTAAAGATGATGATGAAGACGATAGTGAAGACTCAGATGATAGTTTAAGTGACACAGAATATCCACAAAGTAAAACTATGTGTGAAGATAAAACAGTTGACAACCATGCACTATTGGTTGAAAAGAGTTTTCTCAATGAAAACAAAACTCCTATGGGAGAGTGGGAGAGACATACTAGAGTGAGTATGTATTAACATTTGATACAATAATCACTTAGATTTCACAAAACACAAATGATGGCTAACAAGTTTTTTTCTTTAACAGGGCATTGGTTCAAAAATTATGTTAGCAATGGGCTATGTACCAGGAACGGGATTAGGTGCATCAAGCGATGGCCGTGTCCAGCCGGTTGAAGCTCGCGTTCTCCCAGTTGGCAAGAGTCTTGACCAGTGTATGGCCATTTCCGAGAAAAATGCATCTCAAGACCCATTAAAGGTATAAAATAATTATTGAGACTAAATTTATATTTTTATGTTGAAGCAGGCAACATGAATTGTAAAAATTCCGATTTTATTTTTAGGTGGAACAAAAGCTCCGAAGATTACAGAAGAAAGAAGAAGAGCGCAACAAAAGAGCATACGAGAGAGAGAAAGAAAAGGAAAGACGAAATGTATTCAACTTTCTTAACAAAACTCTAGGCGATAAGACAGAGGCTGATAATGAACCTGAAACCTCTTTGGATGTCAAGCAGTCTTCAAGCAAAGACTTGAATATTGAACAGTTTAAAATAACTGAAGACAAAAAGCGAATTGAAAGGAAATAATCAAACTGAATAGTTCATTAATCAAATATCCAAGTGGTTCTAATGGTCACAGAAGTATTAACATGCAGATTATTGAGAAAAATAAAGAATTAAATAATCTTGTGCAGAAAGAAAAACAAATATCTAAGGAACAATCACACAGAAAAGATAAACAGAAAATGACAGTTTTTTAACGAATGTTTGTTTTAGGGTAACAATTTGTTTAAATTAAGGGGATTAACTTCAAAATGTAGAATAATATTAGATAAATAAATTGTGTTAAGAGTTTTTTGTTTTTGTTTATTGAATTTGTAATGAGTAGCTTTACTAAAGTACTCTCGTTCAAGTTTCCAGTTCTCAATAATATTGATAAACATGTATTTAGGACTTACAGCGTAAATAATACACGCATCATTAAAGTAGGTACACTTAAAATACACTACCAGTGACGAGACTCTAAAAGAAAATAGGAAACAACAAGAAAACACACAAATAGTCAGATTTCATGTTCCACAGCAGGCGTGACAAGGTCAGGACCATGAAATTTATCATAAGGTAGTTTAGAAATACGATGCGGCATTGGTATCCTAACTATGTATATTTAATATAGTAAGGTTGAAAGCGTTTCAACGTGACGGGTGAGTTCCGCCTCTTGTAAGAGAAAGTATTGTGGTGTCAGAAGTAGATGCCAGTTGGCAACATTAAAGAAACACTTTGATAATTACAAATTTCTATATTTACATACGTGATGTTTAGTTTAAAATAAGCGTACATGGCATAAAATTACAATTAATATATGACATATTTTTCTATAAATTAGATATTTGTACTATCGATCAATATTAACAAAGTACTTAAAATGTTAATGGGCGTGTGTGACTAGCAAATAACATTTGCTGATTTTTATAATTACGAATTAGATTTTAGTGACAGTGGGTCAAATATGTTTACCACTAAGCTACTCAATATTATAGTTATACCTAAATTAGGTATGGAATTGTGGCTTCAATCACCTAATTTTATATTTATCCACTTGCAAGCATTAACTCCGATTCACATTACATATTTTTAGAAAAGGTACAATTTATTATAATTAAAAATGAGTATAAGATGTTAATTATTATAAATTTTAACTTTGCATTGCCATAATTCAAATAATAACTACTAAAATCCCTTAAAATTGCTACGTGAGCAAGATATTTGTACTTTTCCTCAATGAAATTTTCTTAAAGTGCTGTCGTCTACATAAGCATTCGTCCATGCAATAAAATTTAATTCTAAACAAAATTTAGGATTTGGCTAGTAGACCCACTGTGCAGTTCCCGGGACTACTTGGCTGAATCAATAGTCAACACCAACGTCAGTCCCAGTAAAACAAGATCAACATAACACCGTGTATATTCATTTATTGCTCAAGGCCAACAATATGTCACATGTACGCACAAGTCGAATCATTTGACCCAAGAATCTTTACTAACTCTCATATGTCTATCATTCTCTTTCTAAACCATACACTAAGAAAGTCACGAGTCATAATTGGAGAGAGCAAACTATTTTAAGGACACTTCGATTCAAACAAGGTCTTCAGATTGATCAAACTTGATAATTGTACATCTTTATGTGACAATATTGTTCCATAACATTAACATGAGACTGTTACCTGTACCTGTTTGCAGCAATACTAATATGTATGTATAGTTATCATCTAATTATATGCTTATGCATTGATAGTTCACTATAAAATTTCCTAGACAAATTCATCACAGAGATTTGTTATATCCTCATCAAGATTACCTTATTACCTTCACCATCCATTCTCGCGCATACATCCATAACATTTATTTTAATATCTATTTATTACATTAGATAATGCAATAGAGAGTAATGAAGTAAAAGAGAGACATTCTTTGTACTAAACTAAACGTCTTGAAATTAATAAGTACACTCATATGAGACTCTTCGCCACTCAAGTAAAATTAATATTACCCTATGATTTATGATGAATTACATTTGTGATGTCTTTATTTCGTGAGTTGTGATTTGCCGCTTCCTCAAACATCGCCATGAGATGCACACGATACTAATCGTGATCACAACTAAGGTGCCAATTCTTGAGATGAGATTCGCTTCAACTAGCGTTGTGCTTATTACTCTATTATTATAAATTCGAAGCGGCGGATTTTAGTAAACAACAGACAGCTATCACTGGCCTGTATTAAATTATTTCGATATACCGATAAAAATCGATACTCGAGAAGATAACATAGTTATCTTTCATATATGAATATAATTAAGGTATGTGGGTCCCGAGGACGAGCACTGAGTGATGCTATAGCGTCGCCCGAAGTCGACTGATGACGCATGCCATGGCCGCGTCCACATTGTCGAATACTGGAACACCGGACCGCTTCGCCAGGTCCGAGAGGTAGTGCCGGCCCCGATTGTAATCCTTCACGGCTACTTCACTATACTGTAACAATATAATTACGTCATCAGAAAGTGGCGATGGTAAATGTACTATAATTGTTACTTTGATGTTTCATTATGTATCTTCATGGGCAGTGGTGAGAGATATAGCTTACATTATGAGCTTTCTGTGGATCCATAGGTTGCACCAGCAGTACTGTGTTGGCTGGTCGCAAGCCCATGTAATGGGCTGCCAGGACCATCGCCGCAAAACACGGCGCATCCGCACTCATCGCAAACACTAACACGCGTGACCCCAGTAATAGATCTTCATCGTATGTCCCTGTAAGTAAGTAGCTTGTTAGAAATGTCACCAAGGAACAATAGTTTGTTTGAAGAATTATAAGAATTGAAGTTTTCAATAGGATGACGTGACGTGACGTGACAATCCCAAGTATCTTGAAATACGAAGAAGTGGCACCAACCGGTAGCACAGAAAATAATGTTTATACACAAGAGTGTGCAGCAATACCTTTGAAGGGCTGGGGCGTGATGTCTTCCGAGACGGTGTAGAAGTCGGAAGCGCTGAGTCGGTCGTGGCGGTCGTGTCTGTCGGGCGTGTCGGCGGAGCGGTCGCGGAGCTGCACGTCGTCGGGCAGGTCGAGCGTGGCGGGGCGCGGCTTCTTGTCGCGGCGCGGGGACTCGGGGTGCGCAGGCGCCGCGCGACGCGCCGGCGTCGAGAACATGCGCGTGTAGTCGCACGCGCGAGGCACTACGTACGTGAAGCCCTCGCGTCGTAACACGTCCTCTGGACGACTGCTGTGCATCTGCAAAAAGTGTGCTGGTTACTAATACTGTACGAGAACAGGTTCTTTACAATCAAACGATTGTGATAGTATCAAAATTACTTCATTCAAGTTTAAGCTTCAATGATCCGTACATTCGGTTTGTATTTGAAAATAAAATCCTAATTAGAATTCGAGCTCATTATTGTTGGTATGTTACCGGGAAGGTGCCGCCGAGGTAGACGTCGTGCGTGGGCGCGCCGAGCATGGCGGGCAGGCGCTGCAGGCGGCGCTCAGTGCCCGGCGTGAACACGGCGTCGCTGTCCGCCGCGCCGCCCGCCGCCACGCACCCACTGCTCTCCGCTGGACGGTGACCGCCGTTCTATAAAACAAAACATATGCCTTTTAAATAACTAAGCTATTAATCATACCTTTTAGAATTCACTAACAGCTTCATTTCTACATAACCCTAGGTAAGGAAGGAAGGGATCATCAAAAACTGTTTTCAATGGCTAATCAAACAATCGTGGTGCGGGAACTTTTGACGACGTAAAGAACGTACATAATATTACTGTTAAATTTGACGTTTCATAGTAACAGAAATTCATGATTCATTAAAACCGAACAATTCATTAGAATATTGAAGTGTTTCGTACCTTAGGAATGAATAAGCCGAGCTTTCGCCCGTAGGCCTTTAGCCGGGGATTTACAAGCCGCAGTCCATTGCTGGTGGCATCCCTCGCCGCAGGTTCGTGTACTCGCGGCTCACTGCGGAGCTCGTCGCTCGTCGCCTCACTCTCCTGGCCATTGTTACGACTTTGGTATTCTGCAAGCAAATTACATTTACATATTAATAAAAGGTATGATATTTGCTGAATCAACAGCTGAACACAAGTACAAACCAAATCAAAGTCACTTCTTTGTGGAATATTTGTAGTATGCAAATGAGAGACAGTGGCAAGCAATGTAATGCATTAGCCAATAGAGTAAATATGGCAGTTTATTGACCTTTGCACTATATATCGCAAAAAATACTAAAACAGTTCAAGAAGCGACATAAGCTGGCATTAAACAGATAAAATTAACTTTAGGCGTATAGAGCACAAAAGAGATTAAAATTAAAATGATAAATGTATGAATCGGTGAAGCGTGGGAGGCTACTCCATATACAGCGGCTCAGTATCGGTGGCAGGTGGCAGGTAGACGGTAAATGCAAGCACTTTAAAAGTCCATTCGTTATGAATTGTTGGTCTAAGCCGGTAAGTGGATGTGCTGATGAGATGAGATGTATAATGCAGCAGAGTGCGCACACGCACCGGGAGTGGGCGGGGAGAGGTAAGCGCGCAGCGAACGAAACGCACGGCGCACGCGCGACGCCACGCCCTCACTGTCCGCCGCCACCGCCGCGGGCGCCGGGCTACAGCGCCCTTCAACAAACACCACCCTTACCACATACCCGCCACCCAAAATCCAAACCACCTACGATATGACCACGTCAAACATTGATCGTAAAACACTGCTAAATCTTCTGCTGTTGTTTGTGCAATTAATCGCCAGTATCTACTGTAGAATGGAGCGATAACATTGAGAATGACAACATAACCGGCTTAATACGCCACATTAAAATAACTTTATGGATATAAAATTGGCAGAAAACGACAGCATTTTAACGAGCGTTACAGACACAAAGTGGCAATAATACTGACCTGCGTCGGCGGCGAGTTCGGCGACAGCTGCGCAGAAGGTCTCGAAGTCGATGGTGTCAGCGGACGGAGGTAAGCAACGTTCGGCGAGTTCTTTTGAAGCCCTGGTCGCTTCTTTTAGCGCATCGATGGCCTTAGCGCGTGGCAAACGAGAATTTCTTCCGCCAGCTGCGTCGTACGCGCGTTTGAGTCGCAGGATGGTGTGTCCGAGCGAGTGCCGCGGATGAGTGCGCGCGCCGCGCAGCACGGCGCGGGCACAGCGTAGCGCGGCGGGGATGTCGGTGAAGGCGGGCAGCCCGCGCCGCTCTACCGCCTCCTGCAACGTCGCTCGCGCGCGCGACAGCTCCACGTACTCGCTGTATCATACAAATACGAATTATTGTTTCACATTACATTTTGCATACAAATCGATACAATGGAAGTAATGATCCATGAGCGTGATCTTAAATTCATTGGTTACAAGCTGACGTCAATGTTAACGAGTTTGTCGTGTTTCTACTTTTATCGACTGTTGCGAATGCTTTGACGTGCTAATGTTTGTAAAAATTTGTAGATTAACGACGACGGTCATATTTATTTAGATATATTTATGTACCTACATATGTAGATATGTATACCTTGAACATTACACCTAATAAACTTGACTGTCTTACGAAGATTTTATACCTTGGAGAAAGGAGTTGGGATTCTAGGTCTAAACTTAGTATAGCTATTGAAACATTAGATTTTATTCGTCGACTTGTTAGGTGATAAAATGAAAAAGTGAAGTGAGGGTTTAAGTTTGAATACTAACTGGTCTGAGATGGCTTCGTGTCCGATGGTCTGGTGTCGCGTGTAGGGGCGCAGTACGAGGAGCAGGTCGCGCGGCGCGGCGGCGAGGTGCGCGGCCTCGACGCTGGCGGCCACGGCCCGAGTCTCGCTGTCCAGCACGAACAACAGAGCTCGCGCCGCCGCCTTCGCGCGGTGCTCCACTTCCACCAACTCCGTCGACCAATCATCAACTTGCTGCAGTTACAGAACGCTATTGTTTTTATCCAGAATGGTAATGTTTTTCATCGTGTCTGGTTAATTGCTTTAGATTTGGTTTTATAATACCGTACTTCTATATTAGGTACGAGTTTATTTTAATACCTATATTAAAAGATTGTGTTGACTGAATATTATACATATTAAAAACCCTCTTTATTCGAGATAAAAGGACCCTGAATTTCGTGTTATGACGAGCATGTTGTATTTTTCAAAAATATACTTGCTTCTGCTAGCAGCCTATGTATTATTCCAGACAAAACTTTACTCCTGCTCTAAATATCATCTCGATCCCTTTAGCCTTTTCCACGTGAAGGACTAATAAACAAACAAACAAACATACAAACAAATTTTCGCATTTACAACATTATTTGGGTATATAGGTATGTCCTAAATATATATGTACTCCTGTAGATACTATTAATATACATGACGTGTCTGCCAGCACTAGGTATTTCTAAAAGCCTAAACGACTAGATAGATTTAAAGATATGATGAGTGATTATGATTAGATACGTTAAAACTATTACAAAGTCCATATTAAAACATATACATGTAAGATTGTCATTAGATGTAGTTACATTTAAATTTAACTATAAAAATACAGCTATGCGTCATTGTGATTTAACTATATACTTTCTAAGCGCATGAAGTAATTGAATTTGGTGACTAAATAGTATGAGCCATATATATACAAGCATTAGGCGTGTATATACTTCAGACTTAAATGCAAAAATAAATGCTATAAATAAATACTAAAAAAAATTAAACAGACTAATAAAATTGTCGTGTCTGTTTGCAATATTAAAATAATCGATTTTTACTACATCCATATGAATATACATACGATACACATAGATACTACAATAACATTTTATACATAATAATTTTTGTTTGTTTGTCTGTTTGTAGTGGCTAATCTCTAAGGAATAGGCTACTCTATTTTAGAAAATTGAAACAAAAAAGGTAATGTCCAAAAAAACATATTCTACGCGGACGAAGTCGTTTGCAACAGCTAGTAATTAATATATATCCGTATTTTCCACTTGCATGTGTTAGGTACGTACTTATGTAATATGACGTTATAGTGGCCACCGTATCAGAATTACGGGTAAACCAATGTCGTTAAATACTTGGGTTTCGAACGTTAAACAGCTAAAAACTAAGTGGCTATGACGTAAGTACATGATTTCATGTGTATTTCAAACCGTTTACATTTGAAGAGCTATCTACAGTATTGTGTAATAGACATTTCAATAGAACGTGTCATATCTAATTACTAAAATCATGTTTATCGCGAGCACGTTCTAATCGAAGAAGCTGTCAAACAAACACGCATTATCATACGCACTACCTATTTACGAAATATTAAATTGGAAAATGATCTTATATCGAAACTATTTTTTATTTTTATCGTTAACGGCTTTGGTACGCGCGGTCACTCTGTGTGGCGAGCCTTTATCTGCAGCCTTTAAAGTAGAAACCTGATGTTATTGTAATAACAACCGACGTTATGAATATTAATGGTCACCCACACCTTACTGTTACAATAATTGTACCCAATTACAGTTTGTACAAATATATCACGAAAGAAAAACACTTCGAATTCAATTTGCAAATTGATAACGTCATCCTCGGTAATTAATATTTATTCTAGCTGATAAACTTGAGTGAAAAGCGACAAGAGTTGCACAAACACAAACAAAGACAGGTACAGATAGCAAATAAAGAAAAAAGACTTATATTTTTAGAATATTCAGTGCTTTGTGGCATATGGGCATTGATGAGCGGAATAACTTGTCTATCACAGTAGATTTACGCTTTTATAGCCGGTCATAAATATTGCGTCCGGATAAGCGTCTATTAACAGACTAATCAATTTATTGAAGCTGCTCGTGTCACAGAACATGTGACTAGCACAATGTGGTACATATTTTTTCATCTAATTTTAATTGAACACAAACTGAGTGCCGACAATGAACAGCTGACCTGTAATCTGTAATCACGCTCGTACCTATATCACACACGGTTTTATTTCCAGTGTTGTTTAAAAATTAATTGACTTCGTATCACGTTGTAAATGGCGAACAATGTTCGATTGTTTACTGCATTAACATACACATCGCTGTAATGGCGTATTGTAGGTGACTTTGGTCTACAAGAATGCTGAAACTGAACATTACGGGACACTTATCAAGTTATAATTTATGCTCTGTATCAATGACATACTTCATCTATGTTTACATACTATTGTTTACATATACTATTAAATACTACATGGCATTACATTAGCATTATCAATGAAACAATTAATGTACAATCTCAGTTATCTATATCCCTTTTTTCCTTTGTATACGGTCCGTTAAAACTTACGTAGAAAAGAAATGCAGAAGTAGGTGGTCTAGTAGTGATACTTAGTACAGACCTGTATACCTACCCAAGTCTGATTTAATCTACATAAGGTAGGTCTGCAAAAGTATGAATGTACTTATAAAGGAACTTACCGGATTGAAATATGTAATGCCCATCTTCTTCAGCATCGGAATGGCGATATCCGATCTCCAAGTAGTCGGGTTGCAGGATCCGCCCAGGAACACCTCGCACGGCGGAGGGGGCGCCTCGCTGCCTGCGCAACACCATACGTCAGAAACGGTCAAAAGTATAACAACTAGGGGGATGGTAAGTGAGTAATTGATTGATTTTCCACAGATATTCTAGATATTCGATAAACCTCCATCAAAATTCCAAAGAATCTGTGGGCTTTGTGTGCTTTACATGAGTTCAGACTTTTAAATTTATTCTAGCTGTTGTATCTACACATAACTTGTTATCACGTGGTTGCCGGCCCACGCTTTACATTGCTTACACCATGTCTAACGTAGTGTCTACGTCAACAACATGAATAATTCCATAGATATTTGTATGGAGGACGAAACAATCAATCACTATGTGAACAATATTTGTGTTCTTTGAGACAACTCGTAATAGGACGAGTTGACCCTATTTCTGAGACGGGCTCGAGGCACGCAAAAGAACTACTGTTAATTGTTAACAATTGTACTGCGGTTGGACACGCAAGCAATGAGCACAAACCAAAGCGGTTTGTTACTATTTGTTGGATTCATGAGCGGCCTATACAAACCGGTATCTTATGTATAATGCATGACGTCCGAGCTACGTACGAGCAAATTCTGTATCAATAACAATTCACGAAACCTTGGTGCTGTGACTTATTATCCTCGGCGCAAGTACTAAGATGCATATAAAAATGTGATAATATAATCAATTAATATGTAAATGTAATATAAATTAGCATGATAACAAGTGCGTTTATCTTGATAGTAAGTTGATAACAGTATGGCCAGTGGGTACATACGGGTTGGATTAGAAAGCATTGCGACAGGACGAGCCACCTAGCACGGCTAGCAGCGGCTGGGTTCGTTCAACCAGCGGTACTCATCGTCAATGATTGATGAGTATCGACCTATCGACTGCGTAGGCTGCACATATGTAGGCCGACCACCGTACTACATTAAACACCTACTTGCATACTTGTAGATTAATGATTACCATAAAAGGTCGCGCATTGAGATAAAATTAAATATTTTGGAACGGTTCGGTTCCTTTGTTCGTAAATTATGTACCTTCAACCAATTAGTCAAAAATAATGTAAAAAAGTTGGAAGTAAATTACTTCCTCGACTTTATTGATTAATGTATACCTAAGTAGGTACATATTGCATGTCACATCAGTAGTGGGTACATCTGTACATTCATATTATTGGCATCAATTCAATACACAATATATTGAATTTATTTATTAATTATTTGAATTCAAATAAAAAAGGTATCAGTGACTTTGTCTTTCCTCTTTATGATCTTTCATATTGGCTCTTAGACTACTTGATGGTTGATAGATTTAAATTAAAATGACAATAACTATCAACACATTCAATATTTTGTAAATATTTCACATTATGAATTAAACTATCCGTCTATTACAGAATAAAAACATTGAAATCATACGAGATAACCTACAGAACAGAATTAATACTTGTTATCTGTTATGACATTTGATGGTCATAACTGTGTATTGATGAAAGAACTCATCTCATTTTAGATTTTAAGCACGATCACGTCAAATACAATAGGTACACAACACACAAGGACACGCACAGGTGAGTATTCATTCATATTTACACTGCACTTTATAAAACGTGGCCAACTAAACACATCAATCCAATTCGGGATCTTCGTTCAATGCCAAAACGAAAACGTAAACACAACGCCAGATCAACAAAAGCACTAACATCGCCTGCCTCCGCCCGCACACAGATCTGAATAGAATGTCCCTGAATTGTCACAACTTGGACGTGAACTCAGCACACGATATATTATATTTATCAAAATCCGACGAGTACAACCATCCTCTTCTACTTGTTTCACTTGTTAAAACATAAGATGCAAAACAAGTTGTACAATTGTGTATGTTTACAGTCGAGAAATGGTTAGTATATTGTGACTAATTTGAAAATACACGTTGTAGTAAAAGCAGCACTTTTTCATTGATGAAATTATTATAGAAGTATGAAAGAAACGCACAGGGAACGATCATTGTGGTCGGCGGCATGGTTGCGGATGTATCGTGCAGCACTGCCGGCGTGCACGCTGTCCACCCGCGAACGGTCGGCGGCCAACTGGCGTTCGTTCGCAACTTACATCTACGCCCAAGTACTAGCCAATTCCGCATTTTAAAATATTCCGTTATTTCTATAGCACTACAAAGACATGGCACAAAGACTTATGGTGTTGGTGGTGACCATAACTCATCCGCAAACCTGTACATTTGATATCATCCACAAATGATTATAATGAGCAGATGTCATCATTCATGGAACCGAACTATTAGATGATGGTATCTAACATTCAGCTTACCGTCTTTGAATCATTAAATTGAAGCCATACGATGGCATGATTCACAATGATCAATAGCAAAAAAGTTATTAAGTTAATAAGTTACGTATCTAGATATTTGTCAGGTTAAAATAATATTAATTTATGCATATTATTCATTGTTAATGAGTACCATCGCAGGAAAACAGTCGTAATTTGAATAGAAAATAAAGAAAAATCAGTATTGTTTGTTTGTTCTTAAGAAGTCATCAGATTAATTCTTCCGGGAGATAAGGAAGTTGACGCAGTATCGTTCCATCGTTTGTTTACGTTAGTTGTATCTGTAGTTGTAGTAGTGCGGTGTCATCTGTATTATGTTTTCGCGGCGTTTAGCGGCCGAAATCGTGGGCGCGTAGTATACTGAGCGGCTCATCGCGCCCTCGCTTCCGTAAGCTGTTTATAGTGTGTGCGGAAGAGCCTGGAAGGCCACGCATCATATTTACTTACTGATCTCTACCTTTTACGAATTACCGTGCGAAAGCGGAACTTCTTTCCGATAAGTGTTACGCGATACATATCTAAGCGCTACATATACTTCCTAATGGTTCAAAGTAAACTTTCAAACTTTCTCTAATTTTCCGTAAATGGAAAATGAGTTTGGTATTGATATTATAAAACAGCAGGCGAGTAATATAGCTGTCTCTAATATTACACATTAGTCAGACAGATGCGCTGAGAGATTGACGCAAATCCAAGCATTACATGTGCGGGTGCAAATAGGAGCGAACGTACAATGACTGTAGCATAGGGCAATCGCATTAATAGCAGAACAATTAAAAACATAGATATACGCAATAAGTGATGACCACATGTCCCACGAATGTGAGTTAGTTCCTATTTGTTATTGTGAATATGAACATCATCGCTGTCATATTCTTACTGTGCCTACTTAGCTGGGCGACGTGCTACGTAACCGATGATAAGCTACTCATTGATACCCAACAATAAAATAATTATTTCTTACCGTCTTTGATGAATTATTACAACTGTGACCGGTGTACTTGACTTATCAAGATTGAATATGTCTATTAAGTAAATCACTAATGTTAATTAATAAGAAGAACAAAATCTCACAATGTTTTAGAAATGCACTATTCAAACTGTCCACTTTATCGATAAAATAACCGCAATTATGTCAATAATTAAAAAGATAAAAGTTAAAATGTAATACAAGACCTACTTACTGATTTCCGATAAGTATCGACCAATCTAATATCAGTAATTGAGTACCTATCAAAAGTGTGATAACAGATTGAATAGCGTGGGAAGTGGACGGCGACACAGAATTTATAGTGTATGAGATATTGTTGCGTAGCCATAGGGACTACCAATGTGTATTTCTGGATTGGTACCGTGCGGAAAGTTTAGTCACCATTTGTTTCATCACGGGACGACCGACCTTCTGCAGCGCAAAAGTGTGCATCCTGGTCGGGGACGAGAGTCCCGAATGTAGCCAAAAAGATGATTACATGCAACATTTTATTTAGCTTTTGTAAACGTTCCTTACTGAAATGCCGTTCATGACAAGCAAAATAACACACGTTTATTTTATATGAAACCGATATTGTTAATTTAAATTGAACAAAAATGTCTTACCGTTTACATGTTTACAAATGATGTCTTTATCTCTGAGCTCCTTGTCTATGTTCCATTGTGGCGACTCAGGTTTGTTCGAACTCCTGCGAATGAAAACTGAAATTAGAAACAAACAGAATCGATGAACTTGCGTGGGTGGTTCCGCATGATAATGAATGCAGACATTCAATGGAAACATTTCAGGGTGAAACTAAACGTAGCATTATTGTGATTCTTTGCATGACAAACATCTTATGTATGCAGGGGTCAACGCACGCGTCATACGTGGTCCCGGTCCTTGGTTCCAAGACGGAGAAAAAGGAGACCGATCATTTTTACGTCATCGGTAAAATTAACCTGATTCATGTCTGGGTTGAAGCTGAGTACAATAAGGATATTAGCTTGGGTCTTTATAGCATAGTAGGTAAATTTCAAATAAAATTAATAGGTGTTAGGTATTTGAATTCCCATGGTAATTTTATGACTGAGGTACTGAAAGGTTTCCTGTTTCATTGAAACTATTTATATTTCTTATGATCTCAGAGTAGGGACAGTTATAGCGGTGTATGTTTGCAGTGATAATATTCCATTAATAATACAATTTTTTTACAATACAAAGAGCGAAAATAATTTTCACATGCAAGAGATAATAATATAGACTAAAGTTTTTAAATAACCTGAGCCGGAAGAAAATAATATGGGTCGAAACGGTTAATTAGCAGAAACTGAGTAATGACTGACTAATTCTGTAACAACCATGTGCTCCGTCGCGTCACAAGGGATGTGTGACTAAAATTATTTTCTACAGAATTTCAAAGAACCCGATATGAAAAATAGTCTAAAATATATTGGGTGGAGACGAACGAGTTGACTGGTTTCCAAACGTCAGTTAAACAACAACAGATGTATAATATACGGCACAAGAAGAATTTGAATCATATTTATGTTATGCATAATATAGAAAGGACTGATTTATTTTTAGAAATTGTAATCAGGCATTGAAATGAAATATACATAAATTAATTAGATTTCAATAGTATAACTGTTAATTAGAATCAAATGGCACACTTACTGCCTCGCTTGCCTCGAACACCGACGCAGTTCAGCTGCGAACACGCAGAATTCTCCGAATGTGAGAGTGAGCGACTTGCGGCGGGCACACTGTCGCGCGCAGACCAGCATTTCGAATACTAAAACAATAACAATACAGTTAAACAACAAACAAACAAATAGAACTTTATAAAAAAGTGGGGGAATGCGAGGATGACATCAACCATCGGCTGTCATAGGCACGTAGCAAGGAAAGGCACTTTAATTAATTTTTAATTATAGCTCTTGATGTTATTTAAACTTCTTCAATTAAAACATACAATCATTTTGTTTTAACAAAGACTCTTAGGAGTAGATACAAAACACACAAGTGTAGGTACATAAGAGCGTCTTCAAAACGTACACGGATGCTACGTAGCTCATTATGTAAATTTAATGTCCCAGAATGATAAAGCGGTAGTCATACCAAATTCTTGTTATTAAATAAACTTTACGAAGAAAATTAATGATTCAGAGCTCATATTTCTGGTACTTTAATGAAAATATTTATTTAATAATTCGATGATACTTATTATTCGAAAAATATTAAAGTTGTGACTAAATATAAAAAGCTACCTCCGTGACTAGTTAGACCTGGTTGAAGTTTGCAATGTAAAACCAGCGCCACTCGGCTATAGTTAAATACAAATCAACTGTTTCTAATTAACACAACAAACCTACGCGAGACGAGACTCATTTCGAATAATAAGTGAAGAACTTTGCTCGGTCACGTCACCATACGACTGCGACGAGGATTGAAGTTCACATAATCATAATTGCCAATAACTTATTAAAGCTTAAAAATATCTTTAAGTTATGTAGTTCATCGATGTTCACTGACACTCATTTCGACTTATGATTTATCTTATAAACAAGTTTTTGTTTTCCGAGACCTAGAAAAATATACTTTGAAAACATTGATACACAGTACCATAGCAAGATGTACGTAGAAATAATAATACCATCGACAAACAAACGAACGTGACGACGAGATCAGGATTTTAAATTGTTAAGTTTTCAATAATATGTTTATGTACTAACAAACCGGTTGCTATTTACTTTGAGTTCAACGGCGAGGATAACAAAGACAATTATCTAGCTATTCAAACACTCATCTCGCGACTCATACAACAGAAATTAAATTGTTGTAAACGTTTATCAAATTATGACCTGCACGAGTTTCACACTCTAGGACAAATATTGAGATAAATAAACTAGTTATTCATTAGTGTTTAAGGAATGAATGAAAACAAAACCATATTTATCTTTCGTTCCAAATGTGTTCGAGATGTCCTGGTCGTGAATTCGTGAATCCGTTGTTCATTATGGTCAATGTGACGGAGTATGTATTTACTTTGACGGTGCTACCTTTTACAATTAGCGGTTTTAGTCTAATTATAATACAAAAGCTTTTAATTCAATTGAATTAAGATCACTTGCCTGGAAATGAGGTAACATTTTTTTGCAAGTGATGAACATTTAACGCACTGAACAAAACTTTTTACACACACGTTGCCCCGTTGTCTAGCGAACTAGTAAAAGCCATCTGCGACTAAATAGTTTTAAAGAACATAATATAGGGCACAGCCAGGATGGAACGGATCATAATGAAGCTCTTGCCAAAAATTGTCTCTGTGGTAAACGGTGTCGAAACATTACTATTTTAAAACAATAAACAAGTGAGCAAAGCCTAATAATGCCATATTCTGGCAGAAGTTTAATTCAATTTGCAATTGGGACAAAATGCGTTTCTACTGCTTACGGATGCACTGTTGAGCTATGTTTGGGATAAGGAGCGTGTGAGATAAACCCAACGAATATATTAAGATTAATGATATTGATTATTAAGGTTCAAGGTCATACAATCGTGAACCAACGCGCAATAAACATTGATCATTGTAAATACGCATTAAATTTTCAAGGATGAAAGGACAAAGTCGGACGTCCGTGTGAAGTATGTTATATTCTGTCGGCGAATCAAACGTGGAGTCATGAACTCATTTGGCGGCAATTGGTCATCAGTGAGCAATAACGGTGAGATCACTGGACGCGCACGCGCACACCTGCCACTATAACAATAGCGGATATCAGGCGTAATTATACACGTAGTATCTTATTCCAAGCGTAAAATAACGATTACGTTATTAATTGTTATAATTGCTAATAAACCCTTTCAATTATAAATAACTACGCCTAACACAAGGAGTTCGTATCGATATGAATTTGTTTTAAAGCTTTGTAAACAATATAACTAAGAAGACCTATACAAACTGCGAATTTTCGTAGGTTGAAATACCTCACCTAAACCTCTCGACCTAGTTTCTTAATAATTGCTGTATGTACTTACAGATTAGTCTGAGGTTTTGTGGTCGAATTACAAGTGGGTTTCTCATATATTTATCCTAATTTTTGTTGTTTCAGGTAACTTTACATTCTTTTATTTACACAGTCCAATGTCCTATCAGCAACAAATAAATTTTGTGGTGATTGTATTGTCTATTTAAAGCCACTATTTTTTTTATTATTTATACTGTCGACCAATGAATCCACTTAATTTTGTTATCACAATAACGATTTAGATTTTTTATATTATTCTTATTCACATAAATTATGTCCATCTGCCAAAGATCACAAGAGACTGATTTCTAAATGAGTTCGATAGAACTATTAATGTTTATATCTAGATTTTCTTGTATAAATAGTAACTAAAACTGACGTCGCGTGACTGTAAAATCTAGTCATTGCGCGATTGTTCTAGAACCTATGAGAAAAGGTAAAACAATTATATTGGATTGATCTATTTTAAGACCGTTTTTTCTTGTGAATGGTGAAGCCTAAATGTTTGTTTTCCTATAACAAGAGAGCGTGACGATATACATGTATGTATGTACGTATCTATTACTATGATATTCCGTATCACCTAAAATTATGCTTAAGACGTTTATCAAGACATTGAAATATTATATTGGTAGGATAATGATCTCGAGGCTACGAGTGTAAGGTACATCCGGGGAACTACCGTTGTTCAAAGTTGAGCTCAGCTCGTCGCGGCCGAATTGTAGATTCCTGGATTATATTTTGAAAAGTGTAGAGAGTCTATCAAATGTCTTAATTACAAAGACATAGCAGGGAGTTGCTGTTCAATTTTGACTAGTACTAAAGTAGCCTCAAGTAGTTCTGCAATAAAACTTAATATTGATGCTTTTGCAAATACCGAAACTGATACCAACATAATTTGATTTTACAAAAAAAGTCTTTATCAATTTAAAACCTAGGGTATTTACCGATATCGATTGCGTAATATCTAAAACTTGTAGGTGACATAATTAGTCTGGATTGCAACGGAAGCTTTTGTGTGTTATTATCTTACTAGCCGGCACTGATACCGCCTGCAGAATAATGTAAGACTTTTAGTAATATAATATTTATTGCAAACCAAAACTATGTATGAAACCTCAGAATATGAGATAGTAGCGAAGAAACGTTTGTTTTAACGCACGATACAATGTAATTCAACGGCAGTTCACAAACTGGTGTTTGTTAGTAGTGGTCATTAACTGTGTGACCTGTGAGTTGATTGCGGTTGTTAGATTTATGGACGATAAATATACAAAAGGGGCGAAGCTTAACGTGGCAAGCCCGTAAATTGTTTTATATGACAGATAGTAATCGTAGAATATATTTGTTTTGTTGCGATACAATCGCCGACGTGAGATGTGTGCTCGTAGCAGTGATTTATTGATCAATTTCATTGACATCATAATTCCTTTAAATATCTGGTACCTACATATATATCACACTTCTTCGTATTACATTGTCCACGATTCTGTACGCGATAATATGCATATTGTCTATCTTGCACTGTTGAGGAATAAGAATTTGTCTTATACTTATAAATCATTGCTTAGTAAGAACATCTAATTGATGAATATCACAGCAAGTACAATGTGACATTTTCGGAGTTGTATGTACAACATGCTTCCTAACATTATTTAGCCACTATTGACAAACGAAGGTGAAGGTGATCGTGAGGAAACCTGGACTTATAATTTCTAAGTATAAGTTGGAAATCTCCAATCCGCTTTGAGCAACTGTGCAGTAGGCGACTAGACGCATAGAAATCATAGCGATGGAGCCGCGTAATAAACGAATAGAAGTCGAAGTGCAGTAGCAGCATTGTGGCCGCGTAGGGTCGTAACTCACTGGCTGCGTAGTAGGTGCGTAGATATCGTAGCGTCATAGCCGCGTAAACGCCATAGAGTTGTAGCCGCGTAGGGTTGTAGCCGCGTAGGGTCGTAGCACAGTGGCTGCGTAGTAGGACCGTAGAGGCGGGAGAGAGTGTCAGTCTCTTACTGACTAAAAACCACCCCGTTCCTACTCCTGCTCTTCGAGCCGGAGCCCCGGCAACCCGTTAAGTCCTCCGCGGCATTGTAGCAGCATAGGGTCATAATAGCACACTGGCTGTGTTTTAGGCCCGTAGTGCTTAGGGTCATAGGGTGGTAGCAACAGTACTACGCAGCCACTGGGATCCGTAGTAGGCACGTAAACATCGTAGCGTCGTAGCTGCAAAGACAACTAGCGTTGTAGCTGCATAGGGTCGTAGCACAGTGGCTGCGTAGTAGACGCGTAGTTATCGTAGTGTTATATCGGCGTAGGGTCGAAGCGGTGTTTGCCTAGTAGGCGCGTAGATACTGTAGCGTTGTAGCCGCGTAGGGTCGTAGCACATAGCTGCGTAGTACACGCGTAGATACCGCAGCGACGCAACTGCTTAGAGATAGTATCGTAGCAGCTGCGTGGCAGCTGCGTAGCAGGCGCGTAGGCATCTCAGTCTCGTTGTAACCGCGTAGTTGTCGTGTAGACGCCGGCACCGTACAGTCGTAGCTGCGTAGTAAACGTCTAAGGGTCGTAGCCTATGGTGTCGTAGTGGACACGTAGATACGGAAGTGTTTTAATGAACATTTAACTCGTCGAGTACCGTATTTATAGACACAATTAAAGAACAATAGGTTGCGGTCACCGGTGACCGCTTGGTGTTTGACAGTTTAAGGGTCGTTTTTATAGTGATAGGTAGTTGCATGTAAATTTGTACATATGCATCGCTAGTGCATATCGTATTTACAAAGTCATAGAGCATGCATATTAAATTATTACAAAATTAATGAAATTTTGATATTTATATATTTAGATTTATATTATTATATTATTTATAAATTTAGATATAAGATACTATTTTTACTAGAAAGATATATTACCATTAACTCGTCGAGTACCGTATTTATAGACACAATTAAAGAACAATAGGTTGCGGTCACCGGTGACTGCTTGGTGTTTGACAGTTTAAGGAATAATAAGCATATTATTTATGTTACTGTTGCACCTTTAATAAATGAGTACGGGTACTTCATACTTTTAAATACTATTATTGATCGAAGCTTTTAAAGAACAACTACGGGAGGCTACACTAAGGTTACAAGCACGATGAGTAGTTAGTAGGTTTTTCATTATCCTTATCAGTACTTGAAGAATAACAAAAAACACTAGTTAACTCATAACTAGTCATCGAAAGTATGAGTGTCTTCGTAATACAAATGCGCAATATTTTTAATTTGACTCAACAAATGCCATGTTGTAGTATACGCTAGATGATAATCACTTCGTTGAATTACATTTCGTTTCATCGTATTTTATTAAGTCGTTTATAACACGGTCTCAGTGTACGCTGCGCAGATATATAATAAAATACGATGAATAAGTACACGATTATGGTCTGTGCAACACTAACTGTTGCAATACATCATACCAGGCAATTAACTAGGCGGCAATTGGCAACACGCGGAACTAAAATGTGTAAGTTTTACTGGCATATTGACATTTACTGTTGAATCAGTCTAATGATGATGATGTCATTGTGTTATCGCTTATCCAATACATTAGCCGTCATCAAAGCATATCAATCATGAACCTCTAGGTATAGCTAAGTAACCACGACATGATTGCATCTACGTGATCCACTGTTAGCTTAATACAATTCGATATTATTTCACATGCGATGTGACTACAAGGGTAAAATTCACACAATTGCAGGTCTTATTATGAAGTAGTAAGGCTTACTTGATTCCTATTTTAATAATTTAATTCCTATACTAAGATTTATTATTTTCAATAAAGTTAAGTAGGTACTCGCATTACACACAAACGAATGACAAAAAAAATGGTTTAACAATATTATTCATTAGACCAGCGCATGAGTACTTAAATGTACCTATAGCTGAACACAATATGGACGTACTCGTACCTATACTCGGATATATTTTTTCTCATATACATAGCGTCACTTCATGTTTTTACATAAATGAGCAAGACAGGCACCTCAAGATAATAGATCATGGTTACTGGCACCAAAGTGTTGAGAGACCAATAAAGTTTTAATTAAATCTTATTATTTTCGTATTAATCACGTTTAATTAATTAGATAGAGGAGTCAAAACATATACTTATGTTTATGTAAACACGTTGAGCGTTTATATTCATACATAGTGATTATTGACTATTAACAATAATTCTGTATGCAAGACATTGAATATCTTTCTGTGTGTCCGTTAACTAATAAAAATCTAATAATAAGTTAGCACAGAGATAGGCACTTATGTGTCTTATGATATGTGATAACAAAACGGAAAAATTGAAAATATCGTTTAACAAGATAGTGTACAGGAAGTAGGCATAAAGCATACCTATGTACATGACCGCATTTATATTAGTGTGATAGGTCGGATAACGTTTTTGTAACAGGTATTCGATTTTACGAATTACTTCATAACTAATAAGATTAAATGTATTGTAATTATGAATTATTAGCTTTATCTTTTATATCAATGTATTTAATGATGGTCTCATCATAAGCCAATGATAGGAATTTTACAAAATACTGACAGAAAGCTTTATAAATACAAAATTTAAATATCGGAGACATTTTGATGCAATAGTTTTGTTCCGTTAGAAAAGCATTTTAAACACATCACTACACATTATAAAACAATGTCGCTATCCGTCATCTGTCTGTCCCACAGATATATTGTCCCTATGTATACTTAGTTAGATCTTTAAAACTACGCAACGGATTTTGATGCAGTTTTTTAAATACATGTATAATACATGCATATTGCACCCGTGCGAAGCCGGGGCGGGTCGCTAGTATTTATTTAATACACGACAAGCTGTCACACGAGGGTATAAACTATTATTCGTAATAGAAATTGTACTAAAAGTTCCAACTTATTAGGCATATCGGCCAAAACCGCGCTAAAACAAATATTCAATCACTAACAAAACAATGACGACATATTTATCATTCGAAGATACAATTTATCGTCAACCAACGATAAACTCTATCATAGTGCCTTCTTATTCATCGGAAATAAATGTCACAACAATAATAAATAGTGACGTCACTATGTCAAATCCATAATCTTAATGTATACTCCAGAATTTGTATCAAAATTTTGTTTAGTCTGCTTGCGACCACTATTAGCGTAATACGGTTGAAAATATTTACGTATATTATTAATACCTACTGTGGAAAGTTTATGTACATCTTTTTACGATAATTAGGTACGTGGACGGAGGTCTTTAAATCAATGTTAACGTTTTCAGATACTGATCTGAAATTAAGAGAATGTAATGAAAATATTAGGCTCAGTAACTATCATAAGTCTTATAGAAGCTACATATGCGTACTAGCGTACTGTCGGATCTCAAACGACTACAAAAATATTATTTTTGATTTCATTTTAGTATACGGTGAGACTTGCACAAAAATAAAAAAGTTTCTTTAAAAAGAAAAAGTTTACAAAGAAACTAAGGACAATATATTAAAAATGTCTGCAAATATTTTAGTATTTTTCTATCAGGCAGTTTAAAATGCAATTTCCGCAACTATAAAATTCTACGCGGTCGTCCAGTTTATACCGTTGCGCATCGGGAAATCCGGAAGACCAACTGTTACAATTCCGTCGCAGTAAAAAAATAGTCGCTACAGTTATTTCAATGTTACCAGCTTAATCGTTACACATGTTTAATAACCGGCCATTATTTGACCTTTAGGTAGTGGGATTATATTGCAACTTGTCAGTCTTGAATGTAAATACCCGCTAATAGGTGTTGTTTAGTCTGGCTACCATACTGGTAGTGGGCAACATTTGATACGGTGCAAAAAGATTTGTTGTGTCTTCTTAGATCCGTTTAAAGATCCGTCTGAGGCCGTGGAGTCAAATTAACATAATACATATTCAAATACTTACCCTGGGTCTTAGTAGGGTATAATTCGATGTCGTTGAATAGGCTCTGCACGCGGTCCGCGGAGGCCGGCTGGTCGGGCGGGCCCACACGGCACTCCCATGCACTCGCTACCTCCCTGCAACAACAGACGTTCATTCATATATTAATTCACTAACTGATATGCAAGGAACGTTATCTGGTACTCCTGTAATGCTGATTTTATCTAACAACGCCATTAATAACATACCTATGGTTAGATAAAGTTCGTACCACCATGTCGTAAATGGAATAAACTTCGTTGAATTAACTATGTTTTAATGGAGTATGATGTATTTTATGTTTGTTGTATATTATTAACAAGTTCATGTATTATCACAACACCAGTGTTGACAATGTGAGTATAATAACAAATATAAGAAAAATAGAGATACGGGTACGAGACATGAGAACAGCTGGCAAGTCTGTTTCAAATATTGGTGTTAACTGAAGACCAAAAGATAACGCCACACTATAAATATTGTTAGATACCTAATCGGGTGAGTATGTCATCCATGTGACGCCACACGGTATACTATGTGCTCACACACTACGCACTCGTGCAATTACATGACCAGCGTTGGCAGAATAACCACTATCCCAATAAATGGGTATATAAGTATGCATGCGAGTATGTATGTAGAAACAACAATACTAAATAATAAGTCATTATAAACCACTGGGTTTTAAAATTATTCAGCTATGTTTCCACTCATACTTAATTACCAAAATGATGTACCTATTAGTTCATATAATAATATTTTATTAAAAGGTCAGACTGGGAGAAAATGCCTGCGGCATTTAGTCCACCTTATGTACATTTTGTGCATGAAGCTTACAAATAAATAAATAAATAATATATACAACTGTACATGTATATACGTACATCTAACCTGAGACCAAGTAAGTTGCAATGTATGTACATATAGCCCACTTTTCCTCACAACTACCTATAGTATTCAGTGGAAATTAATGTAGTTCTCACACACACCTCGTGATATTAAAGTGACCGCTAATAAGTAGTAACACAAACTAAACCTACGCAGTAAAAAAGATGTGGGAAGAAATCCTTTCAGTTCTGTTGCATCAGCACCAGACTTCTTCGATCGTAAGTGTAAACAGAAATCTGGCGGTCGGTGGTCGGCGGTCAGGACATCTACTAACGTCCAGTTTCTATAACCTATCTATCTGTAGATTTGCTTACTAGAGATAGAATTTTGACACTTTTTGTATGGAGCTCATGTCAAAATTCTATCTCTAGTAAGCAAATCTACAGATAGATAGGTTATAGAAACTGGACGTAAGGGCGTTGGGTTACCTACAAACTACGACAGCGATACTGAATGTTCCCACGTGAAACGAGCCGGCGATAACTGACAAATACGTAGTTACAGCTAACTGCGGTAGTACATAGTTATTATAGGTTTCATAATACAGAAGGTATATAATTAACAAGCAAATTCAACATATACCTACTTGTGTGAGCACAAGGGTGTTACGGTTGTGTTTGCATTCAACTATGTTAGAGTAAGACGTTTATTTAAATAGTTAAAAGAATTATCAGATAACTCACGAATACTCAGAAGGAAATCCACATTTACATGAAATAGGTGAAGCCAAATCCACTTCCAAATGTATGATGAAAAATAGAATTACAAACACAGTATTTGTTAGAAACTTCATAATTTTATAGATTTTCACAAAATAATAAGCATATGGAAATGATGCGCACACGGGGCGGTGTCTAAGTGCGTCTACTGACTTTGTATAGAATAAACGCTATTTAAGTAAATATCTGTTCGTAGTTGGCGCAGTCCGCAGCCTGTCGACTCGCGAAGTTGACCCCGACGATAAGAGAGCTGATGATACCTATTACATGTAAGGGTATTTTTTCCTAAACGACTAAAATATCATTGTTATGAAATTATATGCAAGCAATACTTATAGATGTTTATGCGATTACATAGTGTACGTGCAATAGAGCAGATATTTCAAAATGCGTTGTTTTCAGCGCTGGCCTAGACTTATCTCAGATTTTATCTATCAACGACTACTGTATCAATTGGGGATTTTATGACGCATTTTAAGGCAATCTAATTGCAATTGGAATGTAATATAAAAGAGTTTTCTAGACCTCACAACATGAGTAATAGGCAAGTAGTTATTGAATGTTAAGTTGACCATTACATTAGTCATAATGACAGTTCATTGTCAGTCCCTTCAAACGAAGCGGTTAGGTGTATGACTAAACCTCAATCATCCAATTTAATGTTCTAAGAACACAAATAGAGGTAAGTCGTTGACAACGTGGCGTCGAGTTAACAGGTAGGGATTATTCGAGTTCAGCTATGACCTAGTTCCCAGGACAATATAAAAGTATAAGTTTAATTCAATAACACTGATTTTACTTTCAAGTCATTCGTGGAATCCTAAAATTTGCACATTTAATTTAAAGGTTAGTTAATAATAGGTACGTAAATGTTTATTGAATTTTATTGAACGTTAAGGTCTTTGTAATTGTTATATATTTGAATTATAAAATTAGAGAATATCTTATACTAAGTACATCACTACATAGTATAAAACAAAGTCCCTATCCGCCGTCTGTCTGTCCCTATGTATACTTAGATCTTTAAAACTTCGCAACGGATTTTGATGCGGTTTTTTTAATAGATAGTCATTCTTAAGGAACGTTTATATGTATAAACCCCAGCATATTGCACCCGTGCGAAGCTGGGGTGAGTCCCTAGTAATATAAAGAATGTAATATAAAGCTGAAGAATTTGTTTGTTTGAACGCGCCAATATCCGGAAATACTTGTTCGATATCAAAAATTCTTTTCGTGTTGGATAGTCCATTTATCGAGGAAGGCTTACTGCTATAAAACATCACGCTACGATAAATAGGAGCCGAGTAGTGCGGGTGAAACTCCGCGGAAGTGGCTTGTTATCAAATAAGGCTTTATCAGTTTTAGCTGTACGGGAAAACAGTATGAAATACACTCAGACGAAAAGCTTGACAATAAGAAAATGTTTTAATGATAATAGAATTATAGGCACTGAACTAAATAGTGCCTAATCAGTGGCACTACGTACACAAAGCACCGCTAATTAGTTAGCGGCGCTACACATCGACACAACTATCATTTACACAATATACATGTGTGGGTAATTTCATATCAATAGATATGTATAGAAACATTCGTCTATCACACACATCTTGGTATTTAAAAATCATTTTTGTGTCGGTATACGCAATAATTTAGTAAATAAGTTTAAATAAAAACGAGGGTAAAGATAAAATTACTCATAACAAACTTTGAATAAATCGAAATCAAAAATAATGAACGATCGAGCTATACAATACCCATATAAATATAGTGCTTTCTCATTGTAATTTTATGTTACTGAATGATATAAAATATTTCGATGATCTCATCTACAGCGCGCTTGGCGCAATGGTTATCGCCTCCAATTGTCAAGTAAAGTGCCGCCGGATCGATTCCAACATTCACATGTTGTTTTAGAATTAATTTATCAAATATTTGAAATTTGAAATTAGAAACAATTAAATCTTTTCTTTTTTTTTCCTTTCCTATTGTTCTAAATCTTATGTTAATTTTAATAGTAAATACTTTAGATTTATTTATACCTAGGTATAATATCTTTTATTTATATTTTAGTTCTAGTTATTTATTATTTAGAATAATCTCATTTGCTTCATGCATTTCAACCAACTTAAATAAGATAAAAACAGTAAAAAAGTAATTAACTGTGATTTCTTAATGGTTCGATACCTGAGTATATTTGCAATGTTTGTGGCGACCATAGAAATCTCGAGTCATTTTATTTTACACGCTTATGAAGTAACTACCGACTATTTAAAACATGTTTTTCAAATCACCCGACTTACAAAATAATTGCGTTCTTAGTTGTCAATTTATGAGGATTTCGTAGTTTATTGCTACACTACTTATATTCGTGTGCAAAGTTATTTTTATTTTTACAAGATGTTCCAACACCTATCAACATTAAAAAAGGCTGAAACCATTGTTTTGCATGAGCAAAACATAACTAACAATAACTGAAATAGCAAGGCGTTTAATGATATCGGTGAGTAAATAAGATACTACGTTGATATTCTAAATAATATTTATTTCATTTTGTAACTCGACACACCTATCAATTTTTGCACTAGAATAAAATAATTATTGCAACTTATTATGAAGTTCAATATTATAAAGATATATTAATAATTTATTATTAATTGTATTGTAACTTGACTTGTTTTTGTTAGGAGTGTTTCTTTAAAACATATCTGGTTAGGGATTTTTATTCCTTACGCCACTACTTAATTATAAATTATTATTCTAACATTGTGTTTACTTATATTTATTATTATTTTTAAGTAACTTTAATTCCTGTAAAGTATTTCCTGGTATTTTAAATACTTATTTGTTTGGTATCAACAGAGGAGATCCATGCAGTTATGGGTGCACAGATATGCGGAGACCGGTGACGTTAAACATCGTCGACGTGGGCCTAAACCAAAGGCAAATTCATCGGCTCGGCACTACGACATCGTAGCCAGGCACATGGCTGATCCGTTCCTGCCAACCCGCACTACAGCGACAGCACTGAATGTTTTAATACAAACTGTACGGAGACACCTGCATTCTGGTTTAAGGTGCAGGAAGCCAGAGAAGAAAATATTGTTATCTGTGGTTCACCAGCAAAAGCGCTAAGAATTTGCTAAGGACTTTATTAATTTTGATTGGGCGAACAGTGTAATCATATTGAGCGACGAAAAGACTTTCAAGTCGGATAAGGATGGGCGTAAAATATTGTGAAGAAAAGATGGAGAAAGGTATACGAATTGCAACCTTCTGCCTTGTAGGATCAGTGATTGTATTGATTTCGGAATCAATTATTGAGCCTGTCAAACTCTGCCTTTATTAAAATTAACATAAAATAATGTTTAATTTTTTTAAGAATATTAAAATGCTGTCTAGAACATACGGTGAAGTGATGTTATTGTTTTGTGGTTAGAAATTGTCATAATTTCTTTCTATTCAACATGTTTATTCACTTCACTTTAATTTTTCATTAACAAATTTATTTAACTGCTTTCGAACTTGATTGACATATTATATTTACGCCCATCTTCAATTAATTTAAAGTTTCCCTGATTCTAAAGGTCATGAAAGTTAAAATCGTTCCATAGCATTCGTCACATTCTTTTTACTATCATACAGCCCACTGAATATTGAACCTTATAACAACCGTCGTAAAATAGATAATTAATGGAAGTTCAAACGACAAAAAGTCGCCCATTTCAAGAAATATTATGTTGACAGTGTAATTTTTTACATGTTTTACTTGTTTATTACTGTAAAACTGTAATTTAATAATACATTATATTATTAAATTACAAAACAAGAATGTTGTATATTTGTTTATTACCTACTTAATAAAAAATGTTGCTGCCATCGTATTACCGCTGTACCGCATGATATTTCCCGATTCGACTATGAGGTTTATTGTCATATCTATTAATTATGATTTAAAGAACTTTAAACTTAACATGTGGTATATAATTAATTATTAGATATAAATATTGAATATAAAACAACATATTTGTATAATAAATAAATTAATTGTAATAAAAAATAGTATTGTTTTATTTACCAACTCATTTGCTTCTTTTATAGCCTGATATTTATATTTTATGACAAAAAACAAAAAAAAAATAAGAAAAATAACAAGGTAAAATAAAATTAACTTTTAGCTGGAATAGAACCCACATCATTGATCCTTGAAAGACGATAAAAGCGTGCTCATTAACCAATCGACCACGAGCACTACGATAATGACAGTGAAAATGTCGGGTCATATCAATGATTGTAAATAGTTTTAACCTTACCTATATTAAATTATAAAAATACGTATACCGACACAAGAATGAAAATACCAATGTGAACGTGGTGGACGAATATTTTTATAAACAGTTATATGAAATTACGCACACATGTACACTGTGTAAATGACAGTTGTGTCGATGTGTAGCGCTGCAACTAATTAGCGGTGCTTTGTGTACGTAATAAGTACAAGAACAAAGAGCCTAATTATCTTGAAGAAATTGAGGAAAAAGAAATTAAGGAAAATCCGTTTAAGGTGACATCATTTCATGTACCCTATCTATATTTTTACTTTTATAATCAAAGTGAACAGTTTACGTCTCTACTTGTCACCACAGAAGAAGATATTTTGTCAGTCTTTGTTTTCATACAATGTGTAGTAAATAATATTACACATACATTTAACTTCGATGGTAGAGAATATAAATAACTATTAAATTACACAACTCTTGCCTGTTATTCCTCAGAGGAGTGAACAATGATATGCTCACTTTTCATAGGGAACTTACGATTATAATTCTAAAATTAAAACACCTAATAACACTTGAGGTTCGAACCGAAACCAGTATACAATCACATACTAGTAGGTATGTATATTAATTTCTATAATATTTCTTTATTAACAGGCCGCCCTGCTTCCCATGGGTGTTTATTCCCAATTTCCCTGACGTCATCAGTACATCATTTGTTTTGATGCAATTTAGATTGCCAACCAGGCAGCGGCCGCCGTATCGAAAGGATTAAAATGGAATTTTCCGATTTTCCTGATAAATTTCCCAAAAATTTATTTTATGAGAACCTTTTCCCGAAATAACATGTGACAAGTAATACAAAAAAATAAGTAACGATAGTAACCAATTAAGTTATTTTTTATCCATGCAGTCATTCATATATACGTGTGTTGTCTAGAATGATTCTATTAGATACCAAGTAGCTAGCATTCAGAATGCAATCTAGAGTATTCTGTAGTCTTATAGAAAGTACTTATTCATATTGTCCTCCACCTTCCGCCGAAGAGGTCACTGACCGCGTTACCATTGTGTATAACTTCAACTGCAGCAGGATTTCGTGCACGGATTGTTTACAGTTTATTGATACTGTTGGACCTTGGTACAAATTAGGCATTATAAATAGAAACCAATACATATTCTTGTTTCTAATTACGAACAGAGCTACAAATACGACTGAATCTAATAATCAAGCTAGACTACCGTTACTATATTTTACTGTATACATAACTGAGCACAGCCTTGCTTCTACCCAGCAATTTAAAATTACATTTTCCAGCGAGGCCATGACTTAAACCGCTGCATTATGCAATTCTAGTTTTATACTTATTTACTTTTTCTCAACAGTTAAAAACGGAATGGTATAATGACATTCAACAATACCGATGCCAATAGTAAAACTACAAACGAAAAGCGCGTGCGACCGAGTTGAGTGCTTACAAAAATATACCATGACATCATGGTGTGCGAGAGAGACAACCTCCACGTTCTCACTCGCACTGGCACGCTTATAAATACACGAGTGCATTTACTCCATTCGTGTTCGATTATGTATGTTCGATTTGGCAGTCGACATAAAATAGCGATTAAGAGATGGTCTAACACAACAAGGTCGACGAAATCGGCTTCAATTTATTTACAACATTAAAAGCAGTTGTTCCTACAAAATAAAAAATGGTCGTGCCCCATTTCCGGATGGATAACGGAGTTAACGACTGCTTGTTGTTTTGTTCAACTATGAAGTGTGAGATCATGTATGCCAAATTAGATATTATATTATAATGAATAGCTTTAAATAGGTATTACTTTATTTCTCGTCTGTGCCACTAAATTACCATTTATGTAAGAACATTTAAGGAATGATCACGTCTTTATTCAAATTAATTCCACTGCGTGTTACTCAAGAAATATGTGTTTTAAATCAGTTTTAGTTTTCAACAATATTATAAAGAAACAGAGTTACATAATACATTTTAAATTACGCAGTGTAAACAATAACAATGACTGTGTAAATAACTTTAGTTCCAATGTCGATTTTTTATCAAATTGTGGTCATGAATGAATACTGAATAGTATAAAAATATTTGAGCATAATAATATGTAAGTACTGTCCCCACCGTGATGTCACAATCACATAGTGATTACTATCTACATATCTACAGTAAGCGACTAAATGATTAAGAAAGCTTTTAGATATGACGTCACTCGAAGTTGTTGACCTGGCTTCACGTTCATGTATTGTAAAAATTTACCTACGTGATCACCTGTGGAAAGTCGGAATGAACCTGACAGGTGTTTGCACCTTTAATACATCACATTTAAGAAGTACAGTGGAAATTATAAGCAATTTTAAAACCGAAACGGATTCGGAGATTAATTTAGCATCAATTTATTCAAATAACCGTGTATCATTAATAAAATTAATGAAAATATATAATGTACGCAAAACATAAAAGATAAATGACAAATGGCGATGATATCATGTCTAATTTCTATACCGTTTATATTTCCATTAGGAATATGTACTGCAACAAAAACTATCTGACTACAAATGCAAATGTGATTTTATATGCACTTTTATAGATTAGTATTTTATTTATTTATAGGTTAAAAGAAATTACAGATAAATACTAGTAAGTGTGACTCAAAAAATTATGTTGATGATGAATAATGGGCACATTACTGGCAAATAATGTCGAAATAGTTCTCCGTCCACAAGGATGTGGACATGCATGAATTCAAATGTCATTGCAAGCAGATGAGGACATCCATCACTCCACAAAAACACATGTGGAGTCATAAAAATAAATACAATCCACGTCTAAATCAACAATTGGTGTAGCATCATAATTAACGACATCACCTCCACCCCGCGACCTGGGTAAACAAGTCACCATGATGTCATGCATTGCTGATGTTGTTGACCTAACCACAAGACGCGCGCCTCTTGTTCCACTGTAAACGTGTGCTACAGCTATGGTCTCTGTTCTACTATTGCCGAAAAGTAAATTAGAGATTTATTTGAGCAATAATTGCTCAATTTTTTTCTCACATGGAACAATATAAAAATAATTCAATTGTGAAATGTTTTAATAGCAGGCGTTTGACTTAGTGACCTAGTAAATTCCATTTTTGTCTTACCTGGCTAGTGTCCCCTTCCATTTGATTATTCCGTTAGGAGTATTCGTTGTCTGGTCCTCAATGAATTCACATTGAATGGGTTGGGGCGGATCAAACGTTGTAGCATGCATAGGTGGTGCGCATGCAAGCGGCTCCATCCGACAGGAGATGGCTGCCCGTTTAGGCGGCGTCGCTCGCGGGTAGGTGTGGTGGCGAGCGCTGGTGACGGCGGCGGGCTCGGCACGCCTCTGTTTCGGCAAAGTCCTGGCACACAACGCACTGGCTGCATTTTTCAGATGAGATCGAAATCTGTTGTTGTTACTTGAAACACTTAGTACACCGCCCTCCATCTTCATCGCCTCGACCACATTACTTTCACTGCACTAAATGTATATTCGCATCCATAGTGGCATTAAGCCACTTCTTCTCTGTAAATATCACCTTTTTAGTTCCATTTTAGTCTATTGGTTATTAGCACTTGTATTAATTCGATTTCAATTGTTTATTTTATATTTGGAATCTATACCATTGTAGTCTGATACTTTACTTATCACTGTCTTTGTCATTGCACTCAACCTACTAAAGAAAGAGGCGTCATATATATAAGTTATGTTGAAGCATACAATACTTTGTGGATGACCAGTACACTTTAAATGGGCTCCAATACAAGGACACAGGTCATCCAAAAAGTAATAGGAATGCCTTATCATTATTTTAGGATTTTCAAGTGGAAGAGAAGAGAGAACAACAAAATTATTACGATTACTTTGCTAATGCAAAGTAAATCGCGAATAAAGTGTATCTGCATACTGATAATTCACGCAGGCTGGCATTAAAAGGACTCTTCTACAAATATTTAAAAATGGGTGGTGCACATTTATTTTAATAAGACACTTATTTATATCTATTCCTTATTGGTACAAATTGGAACATTTTACCATTTATGGTATTCGTGTGAGCGATAGATCACGCAAGATGTATAAATAAACTGATCAGGTTAACATTCTCGCACGCACATTGAGATACTGCTCTCATTTAAAATTAAAATAAAATGAAGACGGATTCAGTTCTGCAAGTCATTAAAGGACTACGTCATCCTAGTTCATTATCTTGTTAAGCTTGACCTAATCTGTAAAAGCTAAAGGTATCGCAATTAAGTCTAATTTGATGACTAAATATGATATTATTTATTGATGTAACAACCCACAAGTTACTGCGAGCGAACGGTATAGCGAATTAATTTGCTAGCAAAATTAGTAGCGTTGCGGTCTACTTGCTGAGATGCATGCTCCACTGCATTGCGGCGTCGACTTCATACAAGAACGTTGACTTTAATAAAATAAATACGATTTCTATTGACGTATTTTTGAGAAAAATGTAAGTATCATCATGTGGTCATTATTCTTACTGCATATTGATGTTGATGTAGTCGTTTCTGAACAATACTCGTTTAGGTTTAGTTTTTAATGTTATGAAAGGTCCACGATCTTGCGGAAGGCTTTGCGGCGGATCCGCAGGCCTCACGGTGGAGGGGGGGACGTGGGCGCGCTGACATCACCGCCGGAGCCAGCGGTTCTTACATCACCGTGGATTGCCTCCCACTGGGCACCGCCTGCGCGCTCGCACCCCCCTCCTGATATTGAAAAGCTATCGTCGTATACGCACATTTTCTTTCACATGACCTATATGGCAATAATTAGCTGCTTTGTAATAAGTAAATAATAAATTATCCTACTATAATTATGTTGATATCCTTTTACTTAGGTATTAAGTAAAAGGTTTTATTCATTAGCGTTCCTATATTACATTCGAGTGTTTAGAAGACACAAATGCTGAACTCAAAATATTTTATATCAGTATTGGTTATATGCCATATTAAAGTATTCATGAAACATAAAAGTGACATCAGATAGAATTCACACAGATTAACTGTCTGAAATTAACCATGAAATTAGTTAACATGGGTCCATCAGAGATCAAGGCTCATATCGCCCACGACAATCGATATTTACCAATTCAATAACAATCAGATAGTCAATTGGTAATTTCGCAATTTTAACCTTATTAACAGAATTGTACAGAATATATTCAAATAAAATGTATTGCAAATTAATACCTTCTACATATCTATGGACAATTTATTACTCGATTAGCTTTAAGTCAACATTACGATAGTTTGTAAATCTCGGGAAAACCAGATGCAAAAAACATTCCATAAATCTAAATTCCTTCAAAAAAGTAATTAAGTATCAAGTTACAAAACAAGTACTGAAAAAACTTATTCATGAAACATAGTAAATGTTGTATTTATATTGCATGTGTATCTATCAGTGCTCTATTTAGTATGGCAGTGAGCTAATGGTTTACTATTAGAGGTGATACAATTACTACTAGGTTTCCATTATCCTCAGTGTATCCTTTGATCGCAACTCAGTCCATACAATAACGCTTTATTGCATGGGTTAGTTGATGAAACGTAAAGCACTATGCATCCCCACATTTCCCACGGCAATGATGTCAAATTGGTTTATCAATCACGGCGGGACGGATGCGGCGCGGAGCCGTCGCCCGCCGCCGTACGTGGGTGGTGTGTTCTGTAGTGCGTACAAGCCGTTGAATTCATGACGCGATGTTAATCGACCGGCGAGATGCGCACAGCTATTTGATACACACAAAAAGATACTCACATTATACTTAAAGATAGTTGGCTTTCATTAATCGTCAATTATATTTTTATTTTAGTCGAACAACGGTGCAGTTGCGGTACTATGTAAGAGAAAAATATAACTATTTCCAAACCGTTAGGTGTTAACAATTGATATAATAGCTTAAACAGGTTTAACGGCATCTCGTAGTGTGCACGCGGATGTAGCCGGTATAATTTGAGTACGATTGTGACGGGTTGTTGCGAAGAGGCTAAGTATTGTCCATTGATCGTTCACAATAGAGGTCCGAGGTCAAACTCTTGTGCCACATCGATTGTGTTCTCATCTAAAGAACGACTTTAGAATATCCTGGCAATCTTTTGTAACATGATTTCTCCTAACAAGCGAACAAAAAGTCAATATTGAATCTAAGAATATCTGGCTACATACACTAGATATCTAGTTTATTTCGTGTGTGTCCTGATTTTCTGACTATAATCCTGGTTTCTCAAGCCGAATAAAAGTCTTTTTATTGGTTATTCAAAGAATTTTTATAACGGCCTCAGATTTAGAAAACATTTAATGTAGAGGTAGACAAAATAAGTGAAATAGCACATGTCTAGAATAAAACTATTTTAAACGTTTAGATTAAGTTATTAATAAAAATACATTTATTTTTACATTTAGTGTCAATCTGAGTAATCTAAAACAGTGATGAATGAAGAAAAGCTAATACAGTAATGCCTTATTTGAAAAACTTGGCACCCGTCCTTTTTATTTGATTAATAAACGGATTATGTAGAACCAACAAGCTTAATCTAGTATCATATAGTTTGCACTCAATACGTAGAACATTTACCATGATTGTATAAACTTTTGTACAGTTCCATTTAAAATTTTGAATAAATTTCATGGACTATATGGAAGTTTACTAGAAACAAATGTCAAAGGACACGCAACTAATCCGGGTGATTAGCTAAGCGGACCGATTTAGGTATACGACCTCCACATGGCACACGAAGCGCCTATCTTATACGGTTTATATCTCCAAATAGAATGCTAAGTATTCCGGATTATGTTTGTAACCACATGAGGCATTTCTGTTAGTCATATCTACATTATCTATGTCAGAAAAAAGACACTGATTGACCATTTGATATTAACGACAACATCAACAGTCAATGCACAGATCGAATTCATTCTACGGACATAAAATTGTACATTTCCCCTGTCTAACAAAATCAGTATACAGATATCCGTCTACAATTACAGTCTACTTGCGACATAAGGATGCGGTTTATTTATTTGCTAGATGGTCATCAAGTAAGCAGGAAATTAATGTGAACTGGCAAGCAGAGGGGACATTATAAAATCATAATATAGGTATAATAACAACGTAATCATGCATAAATTAATATTTATCTTATCGAAATAATGTCGCATTCTAAATAACGTCTTCTACGTATTTCCGAAGTCATCGAGTTGCTAACTTACTACAGAACACTATCTGACCTGAAATATTTTCAAGGTGACAATGTTTGGGCTCTGTAATGTGTTTATAATGAACACTGGAAGAGTGATCTAATCGATACTCACAGTAGGTTATACTAATTTTCCGATGCGGATTCTGATAAACTACAAAATTCCTAGATTAGCCTTATGAATGGCTTATCTAATTAAACATTAATATCATAGAACGTAAACTCTTTTATTAAGAAACACACCGTATGACAGTCATTGTACAGTTCTAGCCTGAACCTTCGAACACAATGAGTCTGAATCAAAGTTATGAATCCTTTGTTTCTTAAAAAATTCAATAATGATTACTTTTAACATGACCGCCTTGTACCTACATGAGCAACTTTAACAAAAAATGAACTCACGAACTCATGACCAATGAAGTCATCGTCGTCGATGCCGACGTTCGTCATCAACACGAGCAACGTGGAAATGGCCGTTGCAAATCAAAATTGTACGAAAGAAAATAATAAAGGTAACATAATAATGGCTAGTACACCTTAGGTACTTTAGCATATAAAACCTTATTTTGTTTGTTTACATGAATTTACTATTTAAACTATTCCGGTCGTCTAGGCGGCTTGCTAGGTTAAATAAGGACAACTAAAACATAGCAATAAACAAATGAGATCATGAATTTAATAGGAAACTATGGGTTAATGACAGTTTAATTTAGGTTCTAATCAGATAAAAACAAATTAAGGATGAAATGAGTATTTTCCTATCATTATTACTTAAATTATGTTCTGCGAAATCTTTGTTCTTGTGTTTCGTGACGAAATTGATAAAATGTAGGTAATACGTAGAAATCATTTCTGCGTCCGTTCGTCTGATTTAGGCAATTTTCTGTGAAAAAGACGTCCTTAGGTATGTAGATTCTAAGGATGTGAAATGTGAATACCAGATATAGAGAGAAGAATTGCTAAAGAACGATCAAATACGAGATATAGGATTCCGATTTAACAGTATTAAAAGATTAGCTGTGATTATAGGGATTACCAAATACGACAACAATTTGTTTACATAGAATATTATTCTCTAACATCTAGCCGATATACGCAATCGAACGGTTGCAGTGTTTACAAAAAATAGTATGTATGTGAAATCTAAAAATAAATTCTTCTCGACAACACAATATTCGCTCTAATATAAAAATATATTGTTGTAGGTTGCAATTTATTTTGTGAATCAAGTTGGTCATTCAACTCGGGCAGAATTCTATGATAAAACGTAATTAGATCATTCGCGCGTAATATTACATTCTACAACGAATTAAATGGCCTCCAAATTGTTTGGAATTGTTACAACTCGGTACTAAGATCTCTGTACATGACGTAAGATTGATTTTGAAAGCTTGATGTTTCTGCAATCTCATATATTTACGACAATCACATCTGCAAATGTATGTTCTGAACAAATATTTGAAAATGTTTAAGTAATACAGCTTTGTATGTGAAAAAAGAACACACCAACAGATGTGTGTTTGATGAATTCAATATAACACACCTTATCACACTCTACTTGTAAAGCAAATATGTATGTATGTAAAGTATACATACATAATTGAGATATGATATGTATAAAACTCCTGATGATATTGTTGCAATATTGTACGTCAGTTATCTATAGGAAATGTCCCTTTGAAAGTTTGACAGATGGTAGATAAGCAGATACCTAATGTTAAAAGTTCACGTTCTTTGAATAAGTTATATCTAAACGAACATTATTTATGTATGTATATTCGAATTCGAAAACGTGCTTAGGTATGGCAAACTATACTTATATTATGTAAATTACTAAACCACAGGTAGGTATATCACTTCCTTGTACGAAATCGCAAAATGAATCATTCCAATATCGTAAAAATAACATTGTCCATATTCATATTATTAGTTGTTTTGCTACGCGTAGGTTATAGATAGGTAGGTACCTACATTTATGTAATGAACAAAAACTGGACAAACAGAATTTAGAACCTCAAAATAACTTTACATTTTTAAACGCACAATATGTTGAACATGTATGTTTGCCTGCTGTTTGGTGCATTGCCAAACTTCAGTCAAAATTATTAACATCAAGTCAATGTTACTAGAGAGTTGACGCTGAGCGCTTAAACAAATAAGTGTCTTACTTATGATGTATGTGTTTATACCCACGCATACTATGACGAGTCAGCAACACTTGCACCACCCAATTCTAATAAAAGCCTTACATATCCCTCACCACAACTCGATAACGAACAAAATTCAAGTATCAATAAGTATACAGTATTCTATCCATTACTGACATACATAACAAAAGTATGTCTCTGCTTGTATTCACCCGTATAAACAAAACAGCTATCGCAATTTTCCACTAGTCTAGTATATGTTCATTATATATATAAGTTTTACACAACGTCACTGCAAATAAACTGGCATGTTTGTTCAATCTCCGAGATTTTAAAAAGTTTAGCGTAATGTGTCCGCGCCTGTACCACGCGGCGGAGCTGATCGCGCAGCACTGGTGACCGGCGAACGATAGCGACACTCCGACCCTACGACTGGTACCACGACACTGGCGACGACTCGCGCTAACGCAACACCATCGCAAACACCGAGTACCGCGCCGGTCGCGGCCCACTGCCACTACTACTTGCTCTACCGACTGTACCAACGACACTACACGACTGTGCTAAGGAGCGAGCATTGTATTTCAACCTCGTTGGTTGCAACTGATAACAACTGCGTACGCGACCACCTCTATCTGATTCTACACAATATGGTCGTTACTAAACTAACTTTAGCTGTATTTAATTACGTCGCTGATAAGTAAGTACCTATGTCCCTTCGTGGTGAAAATGCACTTAAATGACAAACGAACGCCACCTAAAATAATAAAATTACGTAGGTAAGTAACTTAGAAGCAACCGCACCTGACAAACTAGAAATAAATTAAACAAATCATTTAAGTATCAATACATTGAGGATGAAAATGGGTTTTGCATTCAGCAATATCAAAATATCTTTTTGTAGCTAATGTATTGTCAAAAGACAAATTTCACAGAAGGTCATCAACAGTCAATAAAGATCAAATTATGTCCTCTGCAAAATGTTGCGACAGGTTTTATGCGACTGAAAATGAAATAGTAGTTTGTTCCACTTTTAATCAAAAAGAAATTTGGCATGCGCATGTGTTACCTTCAAACTCATAATTTTTGGCTATTTTTTGCAATCACATTTTGCTCTACACTTTCGCGTCATAATTCTCATTCTGTGCCAAATATCCAGTAGATAGGTCGGTTCGTGATTTATAACAAAATTATAATTATCTTTGTAATTAAGAACACTAAATATTTCAATACGCATATCCTGTAGGATGAACAGAATCTATGCTGTTTTTGTTTTTAAATACGTGATCAGATGTATTTAATTTATGAAACTTCTTATTCTTGAATTTTCAGGAATATTACATAAAAAGATGGGTAGGTATTTATATATTTTACATAGTCTCCTAATTTTGTTAATACTTAATATTTTTGTGATTTTATATATTTGAAAACATTTTTCATTCATTCATAATTCAAATGCGAAATCGGCATTGACTACACCCACATTTTTGCATTATTTGAGCAAATAACAATCACTCAAAACGTAGATGCATTGCCCAAAACACTAACGCCACAGCTAACACGACATCCGTTGTCGGACAATGACCAAAATAAAGTTGATCGCAGCACATCGCGTGGAGCTTGCTGCTGTATTTTGGCAAGTCGACCAGTGCGTGTCGCGGGCGCCTGATGGCATCATCGCTATGGAGGATCGTGACGTCACCGCGCCTTTTCCAAACGTGGCCGCCAGACGAAAATAGTCCCCGCCCCGCTACCGACCGCGGCCCCTCGCCTCGTCACCGACCGAATTAGCGAGCGAAGCGGTCGGCATTCAGCAACGGCACAGAACAAGCCAGCTTGTCCAACAAAGACAATCCATTTCCGAGTTCAGATGGTAGTCCCTTAAATGCAAGAACAGGGCAGGTGGTTTCAGCAATGTAGATGACAAGATTTACAACGTGTAACGACTTATAATCCTGTAACACATTTAAGGCTTTTATTCTTGTCATATGTAAGTAGTATATTGATTTAACAGAAAACAGTACAAGGGCCTGGTGACTATAAGAAAGGAAGTCAAGTTCCTTTTGCAAACGCTACAAATTAGACCAAACCGATTGATCACACGAGGAAGGCAGGTACTTTTATAGTAAGCGATAGATTAATAGATATGGTTCCAAACAAAGGTACCAAATTGCGTTTAAAAATAATGATCATTCTGGGACAAACGATTTTATCCCTGCATCAAATATACAACAACAGTAAAGCTGTTCTTACTAATTAATAATTCTTACCCTTATAGAAGTTATATTCGCGCTGAGCCATGAATTAGTTTCGTTATAGTAACTAGTAATTACACATTTAACTCGTCGAGTACCGGTTTTATAGACACAATTAAAGAACAATAGGTCGCGGTCACCGGTGACCGCTTGGTGTTTGACAGTTTAATAAGCTTTCTAAAATAATCACTTGTCACGGTTCCCGAACGTACGACGTAGTAGTAATAATAAACTGCTGACGGACGGAGGGATCCCCTCATGTAGTTAGTTAAAAACTACATCTTTTACTCTTATTGGCTAGGAGCAAACGAGCTGACGGATCACATGATGGTGAGCGATCAGTGCTGCCCATGGGCATGGGCAACCTGCTGCACAAGAGCACATGAGACAATTGCGTTGCCGGCCTTTTAATTTGGTGGTGTTTTAATACACCTTCGTACATGCTGGTTAGTCTCTTTTAACTAAATGGACTACGCAAGATATGTTTCATTTTACGGGTTTGTTTGCACACACTTGCATAGGTGCGCTTTATATTCTATCTCCATCGTTATCTAATGGAATGGAAATCTGATACAAGAGGTCAAGCGCAGGACCAAAGTCTTTTCTTTAGTCTTTACGTGGTTTCTGAGATTCACGTCAATTTCGATGTTAATACAAATTACCAAATTTTGACACTAACCAGTCAATAGTAATAATATATTTTCACACATGCATCAGTTTTATTTAGTCATTGATATATTGAGAATACAATAACAAAATGTCATAAATATAAATACAATACCAGTTTGTTTGCGAATGTAATATATTAGTTTATTAATATAACAATATTCAGTAAGTTAATATAAATCACTATGGTATTCAAAACATCACATAATTAATTTCCCATTTATTACAAACTTTGTTTAGAATAAATTGGAAATTAATAGTGTATATGCATTTGCAGATAATGTATGACTAGATAATAAGTACATTTAAGTTCATAGCTAAAATAAATTATTTTGAAATATAGTCAGTGTATACGAAATATAAGCATGCAGAATTGTAGATTATGGGGCCAGACTAACTATTGAAAACATTAAAATGCATTCAACACAATCATGTCTAAAAAGGAAAATAGTTAAAATTATCACCAATTACCCAGATCTTATTTATTTACTAACGCTAGAAATTAATAATCATTTTAATTCAAAACCTTTGAATTGGTCGAAATTTGTGACGGAAAACAATCAAAAATGGACTAGAATCAAAAATTAAAATCAGTTGTAAACTTCAGTCGTAAGGTTATTAGAATGGACCAAAATCTATTCAACCAATCAGGAGTTAATATTCTAGGTACAGACGAACATACAACCACAATTAATGTGTATACAGACGCTATTTGATTCATGCTTTAGTTTGCTCCAGGTGTAAAAAATACTTTAGTTATATCACATACGACAGAAGTCTCGCAAAAATACCTGTTGGGATAGTAAACTTTATGTATATTGCAGGTTGTTACTTACTACTAATTACTGTGTACACAATTTACCGCTTTATATATATAACGTGAAGGATAAGCGTCAAAGGCCCGTATCTACCAGCATTGTACAGTTTTCTGTTTCGTTGCTATTCCTTCAATAATGCCTTGTTATTAATTCTTGCTGGATCCAAGAAGTTAGTCATGTCCCTGGGATTGGTTTCAATATATCGTACATTTCTTTTGGTTCGTTTCTGCATCAGCCGATCCTAGTGTTTAATAGGTGGTGAAGAACGATAAGCTTCTCCCCAAAAAAGGTCTCCTGCTTTGGGCGAGGAGAGAGGGAGTATCTGACTCTAACTGACTAAAAACCACCTCCTTGCAAATCCAGCTTCAAGCCGGAAACCAGCTATACAATAAGGTCATCGCGGCCCTGGCTGAGATCACAGATTTGTATAATTAATTATGGAGTCATCTGTTACAGCTATTCTCTATTCCTGGTGGTAGTAAATTCCTATTGACGCGGATGTCTGCATCTCTACTTTAACAAAATTATAAGTACCTGTTAATCCATTTATATAAACATCGGGCTGGAATGGTATTGACAAGTAAACAAAAACATACACTGAAACAATATATTAATCTCGAAATCTAATCGGTTTTTGATATACATTAAGTAGGTAGGTACATAAAACGCCAATCGATATCCTTCTTGTCTACTTACCTACGTGATGTTCTTTTCTAGGTTCTGTTGTAGGATTGTCGATTTTTTATTCAATGATATACCTACCAGTTACCTAATTCTTTTAAATACTTATCCATTCCTTTATTTTATAGCACTCCATATTATTTTACACGAGGAACTATTCGGTATTATGTGTCCTGTCTAATTTTCTAAAGGTTCATTCACCAATGTTGAATTTTAACTTGGATAATCCGAAAGATTTTCTCTGAAAATTATTAGCACTTTAGAATTTAGTGTCAATAAAATTTTTAATAGGTACCTTTGTTCCACTTCACACAAAAGATACGACGACGGCACGACATACAAAGCGAAATAATGTACACCACCAATGGTCTCTGCATTAACAAGAAACGAATGAACCCAAGTAGAGTGATAAGATAGCGTTGCATTTGTGTTTAGTATTTTTGTAAAGTGTAATGTGTGTGAAGACGTTTAGCTAAGCCATTCATTGCTGAAAACGCGCGCGACAGTGAATCGGTTCCGAGAAACATACTCGCGTTTCCTGGAAGCGCTACTATGGACGCACACATTAGCAAATCGCAACGTAGTCAATATGGCACACATAGTCGCCCACGGCCCTGATAACGCGCTGCCGCCGTGACGACTTGACGAGACGTATCGGTGCTCTCATTAACCAACCACTCGTATTGCGTGCCCGGCTCGGCTTACACCCAATCAAACAATTTGCTGCACTAACATTACGATATGCAAACAACAACCATCGGCCCACAAGGTACAATAACATACACGAGTACCTATACAATGTCACCAGCACCACTAAATACTAAACGTTTTTACGTTATTTATTAAAGAAAACCATCAACCTTTCTCAACAACCAGACTTGCTAGGGTAAATGATTCCATGACGCGACATAACGCTGATATCATTACACTGGTCTATTTATTTAGACTTCGAGTAAACATCGTTAGCAACGTACTACAAGAAAATATAAATATAGCAAAGATCTAGTTATTGACAGACATTGCCAATAATGAGAGCTCAATAAAATGATCGCAGAGCATCGGGGTCAGCGGCGAGATGCCAACGGTCAATAATGATGGCTTGACATTCGAACTGAATAGCAATCAATCAATTAAACTCTT